GAGATTTTTGTTATGCATACCTCAGGTAGAGAAACACATCAAGGATGCAGTTTCTCAAGGAGCATCTATTGTGACTGGAGGGAAACGACACAGCTTGGGGAAGAATTTCTTTGAGCCAACATTACTTAGTAACGTTACAACAAAAATGCTTTGCACCCAAGAGGAGACGTTTGGCCCTTTAGCGCCAGTTATCAAGTAAGATTATTAATTTTCCAGATCAAAAATAACAATTACAAAACCAATGAAAGATTATTTTGAATAAACAAGATTTGAAAGGCAGTTTTTTAAAAAAAATTTGTATGATCACACAAGTCTTGTAATAAGACTGGGGTGCACGTGTGAAAACATACTTTGGTTATGTGGTTTGTTTCTCTCTTGGCCTGATTTTAGCATCTCTGCAACTTTTTGCAAATCACTTTGTTTTAAAGTGTATTAATAGTTAAGCAAGGGTAGATAACAGAAAAACCTTCATCAGCTTCATATCTGTGGTGTGAAATAGGAGACACGAGTTTTGAGTTTGTCATGTGATTTACTAGTTCTAAATTTTTCTGACAGAGGATGACTTAGAGCTGTCTGTTCTTAAAACCTTCCCTGCCTCTCTGCAGAGCAATTGGATGTGATGGAAGAACATCCAGTTACCTCTCAGAGTTGAGAGTGCTTGTGTAGTAGGGGAAATAGGTGGGCTAACCAATGTGAAGTAAATGTTTTAGCTACCAGTATCTAGGGAAGATAAAGGCAATCTTAATTTTAACTGCTAGTATGATTTAAGAGAAGAGGTAGACACTCCTCCATTGTTTCAAAGGGAAAGTTAAATTACCTATTTGAAGTACACTTTTGGGAAAAAATAATTTTTATTTCTGATAAAACTGCTTCTTGCCAGTAAGTCAGCAATACAGTAGGTGAACTGCAAGCCTCATTTTTATTTTTTCTTTCTGTTGACAGATTTGAGACTGAAGCAGAAGCTGTTGCTATAGCAAATGCAGCTAATGTGGGTTTAGCAGGTATGCCTCTTTGTCAGATAAGTGTATTTCTGTGGTTTTAAGAGCTGTAGTGTGATGTGGTGATGATTTTGAATGTCAGTAAAGTCTCTTTTTCACAGTATTCTGCAATTGTTCTTACTGATTTTCATTCCTGTATCTCTGTGTCTGCACGGCAGGATATTTCTACTCCCAAGATCCAGCTCAAATCTGGAGAGTCGCGGAACAGCTGGAAGTTGGAATGGTTGGTGTTAATGAAGGCGTAATCTCATCAGTGGAATGTCCTTTTGGTGGGGTAAAAGAGTCTGGCTTAGGGCGAGAAGGTTCAAAGTATGGCATCGATGAATACTTAGAAATAAAATACGTCTGCTTGGGAGGCTTATAAAAATCTTCAAAAAGCACAATCCCAACAGCTTGGAAAAGAGTGCTCTAGTTTTAATAAGCTTCTTGAAGCAGAAATAAGTATGAATGCAACTTCTACCTTCTTTAAAACTAAGTAACCCCGTTCTGTGTGTGTAAAGATATTTACAGTATTCTGTGCTGCCATATGTTTTTACGTGGTCTTTGTTTATACCTTCAGTTTTTCAGCAATGTGATCAAAATGTCCATCCTTTTTAAAAAAGAGTAGGGATGCACATTTATTATTCTTGGATTATCTCTGTGTAACTGGGAGAACTTGGAGGCTGGTGCATAATGAAAATAGACTATAACCTATGTCAAGGGGAAACTAGACCACCATTTTCTAGTACCTTTCGTGTTTCAGTGTGGATGTGGGAGGCTTTGGGATGGCGGTCTCCCTTTAAAATTTTGTGTAAATACTCACATTTTCTAACGTGCTTATATGACATCCTTTAGAAGCAAGTGTGTCTTTTTTTTTTTTTTAATTATGGGTGAATCTGATGGTTACCAAACGTGAAGAACTGCTTTTAGCTACAGCTAGGCATCCACGTAGGCAAACAGACAGCTTTTTCAGTGCTGTAAATGCTGACTGCAGAAGCCCTATTCAGCTTTTGGTCTCTGAGCAAAGAGCTGTGATTTATGCCTAACAGCTTGCACGCCTAGGATCAAATATGGCTCTTGTTTGATGTGTCTTAGCCCCAGCTCTTAGTTCCAGTCCTAGGAACGGGACAGTCCAGGACAAAGAATTGCTGGCTTAGTGAGTAGCAGGAGGAAGATGGGATACTTACAGGAATAACTTGCAGAATTGTAAGGGGACAATATAAGGGCTGTGTGAAGAAAGCACAAGTGGTGACATGATGATATAGATAAAACTCCCTCCCTTCCATGAAAAGACCATGACTCTCCTTGAGTAGAAGTCACGCAGTGTCTAAAGGAACATTACTCCACCTCCAAAGAATACGAGCAGATAAATGGTTCCATCCCTCTGGGCTTTGTGCCTTGAACTGCATTTTTGGTTATGCAGGTGAATGTCCATTAGGGAGGAAGACTTAAAAACCTTTGAACATGGCTAACTGTATGACCTAATAAAGATTTAAATAGTAGTGATTAGAGATGAGACTTTGACACATCACCTCACTATTCTGTCATCTTCGAAAGATGATGCAAAGCTTCCTTAATATGAAATAAACAGTGTTGTTTAAACATTATTTTAATGGCAGTCAAACAAAGCACTTTTAAAAATCAGCACTGCAGAGGCTAAGTGGAATAAATTTTGTTTCTTGTGTTCATTATTAAAAATAAATAAAAGACTGCAATGGAGGTCTTCTTCCTGTAAACTAATGAATGTACCCCATGAAATGGGATATTTTAAGATATTTTATCCCATCAAGCAAAGGTAACACAAGCCCTGGGGAAGGAAGCCAAAAGGTTTTGTTCACGGTTTTGGTTTGTTTTTTTTTTAAAGCGCACATAAAGTAGCATTGACTGCTACTTCTTATTTTTAAATATTTTTTATGGTTATATTTGTGTAACACTTGAGACCAGATGGGTCTGGAGCACATTACCTGTCAGTAGTGTGTGTGCATCGTGCCAAGCAAAGGGCAGTTAAAGGACACTTACGGCCCTTCCAGTAATTCCCAACACATTTATGGTAGTGAGGACTTAGTACTGTTACCTGTGCTTGTTGCCAAGTACAAAAAAAGGATGGCCTATTTCTACACTAGTTGCAAGAAACTTTCTTATATCCAGCTTCTAACCTTACACTATTGCGCACATATCCTGCCTGAATTTGGGGAATACAATGTTGTGGAAGAGGAAACTGTTTGCCAGCCTTGGCTGCCAATGTGTGTTTATTTCTAACTGAGAGGGTAACTAGGTAGAAGAAGGTCATAACTTGGTGCCTGGGTACCACAACACAGTGATGCAGGCACAGGTACAGCTGTTGTACACGGGTAGAATATCTGCCACTGAATGCTGACATAAATTATGTCTGCCTGTGGATTGCAGTATAAGGTCAAAATTAATCATCTCATTTACAGCTGTATGACAGTGAAGTCTTGAATGTGAGTGTACTTCCTGGGACAGTGCAGTTGGAGGATAAATTCTTTAACCCCCTGCTCTCTTCACTGCAAAATTACTGATCTGATGCGTTGATACATTTGAAATCTTAATGTCTTTTCTGAGAAGAGCACTTTTAATGAGTAAATGTTTACCTTTTTTCCTAGCAAATAATACCTTTTACTATGCCTGATAGCAAGCACAAACCATAAATAAAGATAAGGTATGTAATAAACTTTAAAAATACCTTTGTCTAGATTGGATTGTGGTTGGATTCCAGCATAGTATCCTTGTGTCAGTAAGGTCTACATCAGTTAAGCACAGAATAATCAAAGTTGTCTTCATAACAAAAACTGTGATTCTTCAACAAAAGACTTACTTGAATTCTCACACCTTAGTTATGTCGATTGCACTTGTGATAGTTTAGCAATTTCTGGATATTAAAACTGTGATTAAAAATGTTTTTAGTTAATAAATAACTTCTGTGAAAGTACTGGATTTTGTGACTTACTTCACTTCATTCAATGTTGAATTGACAATCTGACAGCAGCCACATAAAGGTTAGTCTCTCAGACTTCCACAGAATATTTTGTTCTGCCAGCTTTATCACTGGAAAAGATGACACTTCTTTGCATCCACATCCATAACGTGTACCCCCAATTAGAGTCTCTTGAATCTAAATCAAATAGGTGAGACTACTTTGACATAGTAATATGCTGTCAGTCATTTTGTATGCAAGTCTTTTATGCTGAATCAAACATTTTATCACAAGACAGAGGTTTTGTATATCAGTGTCTTCCCTGCTTTCATGATGTGAATAATTGCATAATTCTTTACCTCATTTATTAAGACTTAAAATAGAGTTTTAGAAGCTCTTTTATTTTCATTTAGTTAATACAGTTTTCAAGCCTCAGAAACTGTCTTAATTTCCAACCTGATTTAGTCATGGCCAATTTCCATTTTATTTTCTTACGTTATTCTTTAAATAGCTGTTGTTTGACACCCCCACCCCACCCCCGCTGCCTGTCTTCTCTGTGTTATAAACTCTCCAGAAGCTGTGCTTACCTGTTCTGCTAGATATTAACAACTTAGCTAACTTAAAGAAGAAGATTAAGGTAGTGTGTTCAGAAGCACTGTGTTACATTTTAGGACTTGTTTAAAGTTCTTCTGTGTTAAGACTCCCTGCTTAGGACCTTCCAGGAACAACCACAAGAAGTTGGTGGCATATTCACTTTTATCAGTGAGTGCTCAAGCTACTTTGCACAACTGGCTGAAGTTGTTTAGGAATCACTGCTGATGATATTCTGTTGCACCAGGCTACTCAAAGGGATGGGGGCAGGCTACTGCTGTTACCAAATGTACAGTGCAATAACAAAGGGGCAGATTGCATTCCTCAGTACGGGACATTTATGTATCTCATCAGCTCATTCAGCAGCCAGTATGCCCTTGCAGGAGTCCAGTATGAATGTATGAGGTGCCATGTAGACTGCGGCACTATGTATCCAAATACACTTAAAAGTGTAGCTTTTATGGGGTATGATTTTTCCTTATAGAAAGACACTTGTATCTCATAGTACCTTTTATTATCACAAATTAGCACAAACTTCACACACACTGATGGCAAGCACTTTTTCTTTTGAAGTTCAGAAACAGGCAGCAAAACCTGCCTCTATCTAACACAGTATTTTGGTTTATATTGCACACTGATTACTGCAAAGCAGCCATTGTACTGACAAACGCTCTCAGATACTGGATTTGTTATAGAGTAAGCCACAAAACTTGTGAAATTACCACACTCGGTATGACAGCTGGTGATTATTTACACACAGCCAATTAAACCAAGTAAGGACAAGCACCACAGGAAAACCTACTGTGAACTGCAGTAAATTATTTTTTTCCTGCTCTCTGATGTACTGAATTATGTCACCTCTGTCGAAGAAGATGCTTCTGTCAGTAGGAAAGGAAGGGATCAGCTATTGCACTGCTTTTGTGTTTGAGTACAGACATAAGCTATGGTATACAATGTATGTCTATTAGCCTGACCTGAGTGTTGAGTCCAATACAGTACACCATGCCTAAAAGAGTACCTGACAAGTTCCTAAAAGGAAAGACAAAAATTTATTAGTTACATAAATGTAGCAATTTCAGCTCGGAAACAGTTCCAGTTACAATACAATAGCAATTGCAATAAATAACATTTTCTAGAAACAGGTTCCTAATATAAGTTCTGTAATAACTCACCCATCCACCCACAGGGAGAAGTGCTTCCATACAGAGACAAACTACAGATTTGCAGCTCATCTGCACTTGATTCATAGCCTGTGCAAGAATTATTTGCCTTTGCTGCCTCCTTTTTAAAATTTAATTCTAAACTTTTTATTTCTCTCCTTTGCCTTGGGGAGTTCAGGATATAAAAGGAACGTGAAACGGGTTTTTCTTTGCTGCAGAAATATGGGATTAATATTCTAGATAGGATCAATGATAAGCAATAACTGATATTAAGAAACGAATTCACCTCTCTATCCCATTTTCCTTCTTCTAGAGGAATGTTTACCTCTCTCAAACCTCAAATAAATGGCAGAAGACTACACTAAATGTCATTTTATTACCACCATCCCAAAGCTCCATCTGACTACTGCCCATTAGCAGTATACTGGGGGGGAAAACTAATTTCACTTAAGGCTAAAAGCAGAAACAGGACATTTGCCTAAACTCAATTATTTCAAGACCATCAGAATATTTAAGGAAAGTGTGCATCCAGCACAGAGAACACATGCACCCACTCACTCTCTCTCTGTTAAGTTCACACACTGTTAAGTTCCTTGTATGTGTGCACACTTCTGTTTGCCCACAGAGACCAAGAAAAGCAAAATTGATACCCTATAAGCAAACAGCTGTCAGCACAAAACAGATGCCTGAACACTACTTATATGTGATGTATCTGACAGAGGGAGAGAAGACCTGAACAAGAAAAACCTGATTCTTGTACTTGTTTTACTAGAGAATCGACCTTTAGTTTTAGGGTTTGGTTTGGGTTTTTGTTTTGGGGTTTTTATTTGGTTGGTTTTTTTGGTTTGGTTGGTTGGGTTTCGGTTTTTTTGTTTGGTTGTTTTTTTGGTTTGGTTTTTTTTTTTTTTTTATTTTTCATAAAAAGATGTCTGAATTTTAATTCCTTGAAAGAACAACCTCCTAGCCTTTGGCACTGACTTTAAACATAAAATAAACCCAAAACATATAAAGTGACTGATCTTACAAAACTGATGGATGCTGCTGACTGCACCGCCATGTCCTAAAAGGTAAATTTATAGATAAAGGCACACTGGAGAGAGTATTTAGCAGAAGCATTAATGGCAGCATGGCAAATACAAAGTTGAAACTGCTTAAGCAACTTGTTTGCTTGTTTAAAAATGCATGTGTCCATGAGCACGATTCCTGCTGGAACATTCTGGGAAGTTGTGCAGAATGGATTAAGCCCAACATTTGAATTTCAAATGAAAAAAAAATCAGTATTTTGAGTGGGCCTTAACTTTATTCAGGAATACTTTAAAGTAAACACTGCATTATTACGTTAACACATCTGGAGCAGAAACTGAAAGACATCAGAAGCTGACCTTGCTTTTATTGACCAAGTTATTTAAAAATATATATACATATACACACACACTCTCAAGAAGGGGGAGAGTGTGATAAAGTAGATTTGTTTCAATAAATATGCTAAACCCCCCATACACAGAGTTGAAATTGGTTTCTGAAGAAAGCAAATCATACCATTTATACTGCACCTTGCTGGTGGGTATGGGAAAAATCATAGACAACACCTGCGCTAGCCCTTTTTAGCTCTTCACAGTCTCTCCCTCCACGATGACTCCTGCAGCCACACAAAGCTCTTCAGAGAAATGCAGGGCTGGGCACAGGATAAGTATTCCTCAGTGCTGTATTAGTAGCCTTATGGACTCTTGCTGGCTGCATTTGAGAATCAAAGGTATGAAACAAGTTATGAGTGTGCCGTGTTGCTGCAACTTTTGACTACTGATTCCTTCCAACCTAGTTGCCCAACTCCATTAACAAGAGAAGCACAGAAGCCCCAGTGTTCAACTCAGCTACTCTGGTCTCTCAGACTTCTAAGAAGAGATGGAGAAAGCCCTAAAATTCTCCACTAAATTATTCTTCATGATGGAGATGGGCTATATACCCTCCCTGAGCCTTCTATGCTGCTCCCCTTGATCTCTATACTGTTTCGTCCTTCTCCAATATTGGGTTCTCTACTTCTGGACTAAAACCAAAAAAACTCTCTCCAAAATGCTCCCAGAGGAATGTTTTCTCCATTGAAACACATCATTCCTCCATCTCAGCCCAAGACTCCAGCACATCAGTAGAGTACCCCCAGGAAAAGCTGACGTCATGGCTAAATAGTACCACTGACACAGATGTCCCCACCAAGTGAGGCTTATGTATAAAAGCCAGGTCTTCAGTTTGGGATTTTAAGGACAGTATTGTGGGGGCATGATTTTAAAGCCTAACAAGCAGGCTGTGAAGAAATTATCCAGACTGTGAACAGGATTTTAAGAACTTCAATACACCTACCCTTGCCAAAAACCTGAAAGGATCTCTTTAGGTCAACACATCCAGTCACTGAACAGCCACAGAGGAAGAAGCAAAACAGTTTAATGTTCAAGCTAAAACCTTGTTCAGTACCAATTCCCATGACAATGAAGGTAAGTGTTGAACCTCCTGCTTCACACACGGTATTTGCCACAAGCATTTCACTACACAAGTGCCTGGCACGTTCTTTAACTGAGCACTAAGGCTGACAGATGAAAACTTGTCTCGGCTGAGTGTTTAGTCTTAGAAGGTTCAGAGCTCCTCAAAAGTGATGTCTAAGCAAAAGGTTGCTTGAGATGCTTAAAATGCTTCTGAAGGTGCTACAGTTTCCTGGATGGACACGGCATAGATAAAGCACTTTCACCATTACAGAATCAGCCTAAGGCTGGACTTTCCTGTAGACATCATACCTCCTATGAAAATACAGGGGAAAACTTTCTCTAAAACAAAACAAAGACATTTCCACCTCATGAAAAAGAATTCCCTAGAAAAGAATTTCCACCCTAGAAAAAGAATTCACAAAGCACAGTCAGATAAACACAATGCACTAAAAATGCACTTTGTGTTTCCATCCTGAACTGAAAATTAAGATGGAGTCTGTGGCCACATATTACTCTCTATAGTTGTAATGGAATTTATCTATATTGGCTTTTGCTGTTATAAACCACACTGCTTCTCCAAGAGAGTGCTAGGAGCACAGGACATGAATCGATATGCCATTGTTAGTTATCACAGTCTGTAGCACAACAGCCCTGGTTAATTTTGTAGCAGTGACATAGAAAAAAGAAGTTCAGACAAACATTCAGCATGGAACATGGAAGAAATAAGATGTGCTTTTCCTTGTTCCTATAATGGTGACAAGAGGAGTTAGTGGACCATCTAATCTTTCTTCCTTCATTCTTCCTTCCTCTACCTGTGTTAAAAATTTACCCTTTCATCTGCAATTAATTGATAATTTAGGAAGCTTTTGGTTCTAGAAAAAACAGAGGTGAGCCAACATGTTTCAGATGTGTTGCACCAGCATGTTCTGTGCTTTTACCCTCATTCAGTTATCTGTCTTTGGAGCTGTAGTTGAAGGAAACTCCATTTCTGATGGATCCATTCATAAGTGTTCTAGGATTCTCTCTTTCAATCTTTTCTCTGCTGAAGATAGTGTCCTGATCACTGTCAAACTCTGACTCAGAGACCATCAGACTGGAGTTGTGCTCTGTACTTCTGTGTTTTATACCTGACAATAAAAAAGCAAAACAAACTCATTAGAAAGATTTTACTTTTTAGTAATAACTAACCACCACTGTCCCTGCTGTGATATGAAAAGTAAGTGAAAACCTTCTCTGCAGTGTAATGTAACAGCATGTACCACTGCCACTATCAATATAAAAACTGGCCTAAGAACTATCACATACTGTCGGGCAGATACTCTTCTGACTTCACTACAGGCCTATCAGTTTATGGCTCTGAAATCTGAATATATGCATTTAAATTTGAAACAATTAGATTATCTTAGTACATACCTAATGTACTTTTAATAGCTTAAATCTGGAAATTAGTCTGTCTACTCAAGTGTCTTATTAACACAAGTGGGAATGAAAGGTCATGGTTTCTACAGAAATGTTATCTCTGTCTTTCTAGGAAAGCAATTTCTCAGGATGATTTTAATTCCTTGGTTTCCAACACTTCCCCTGCTAAAAACTGGAATTTAAGGAAATCAAAATATATGTAAACAGCAGCTGAAGTCTACTGAGGTTTAACAGGGCACTTATAGGTCAGGAAGGAACTGCTGGGCAGCAATAAAAACAGCTCCAAATTAAAGCATGTGCAGAGGAGAAAAAGTTACATAGAGAATGTCTGTGGGACAATAAAATGTTCTAAATTAAGATTAACTAAGAAGCTCAGAGCAGTGGCTGAGCCCAAGGCTTCATACAAGAAATGAAGCAATTCCCCTCTAGCCACTCCATTGTCTGACTCTGCCATTTCCAGACTTTTAGGCCAGCTTCTGGGCTCCTCCTGACTACAGCTGTGAATTCAGACACATTGACTGTACGCTCGGTGGATGAGTTCACAGTTTATCATATAGCACTTACCGTATTTGGGTCGTAGTTCCATTCTCTCCTGCTCATCTATGTTATCTAGGATGGTATATTTTGTTTTCCTTCTTATCTTTGTCCTCTTTCTGCTAGAAAGGAAGTTACCACAAAGACATGTAATTCTCATGTACACACATAAATCTGGTCCTTTTGATACACATAGCTATATACCCTGATATACACAGTGTCACTGTACTTTCTCACCTCCACTTTAAAATAGTTGTTCCAGTTTATACCTGCATAAAGCAACTGTACAATCTGGACAAGACAGCATAGTTTATTTTCTCTCTGATATACAAAGATGAAGAAAGTAAGACAAATTCATTTGCTTTCCTAGGCCACAGGGGTTCAGTTTGTTCAGTTTCAACATAGTTACTACAGACAAGGCAGACATATATTCATTTGCCCTACAGTTCACAGTGAAGCCACTTTACTGCTCAGACAACATTACAGCAACAGCCAGCCGCTTGGCCTCCCCTCTATGGTCTTCTAAAAAAAAAAATAGAATTCATTTGGCAACTCAAAGTCTTTAAAACCTCCAAAACTCCAGTCAAATCTTAGGACTACAGTGTACTTTTCCCTGTAGTTTCCCCAAAGCAAAGGGAATCTCTTGCCATTCTGTCCTGTGCAGCATTTCCTTCCCCTTTTTCACATGGATCTGTATCAACCAGCCCTGACTCTCTGGCACAAGCAACATGAGGACAAAGGACAAAAGCAGCTGAACTAATAAAGAATCCCTTTATCATCAAATCTACACAAGCCTGTGAGGCTCCACAGTGTGGGGGTGGAGTGGGACACACTTTACTATCTAAAGTTTTCTACTAACAGCACTGTTCCTTCAACCACAAAAAGAAATCGGCATCAACTCCCACACATCCTTTATATACTGCAAAAAGTTGAAAATATGGAAAGATTTTGACAGCATTTTATTTTTACTAACACCTGAACAAGCTATCTATTTGCTGAGCCATTTGGGCTGCAGCAGAAACACTTGCTCTAGTGACAGAACTTGCAGGGGCCTGTCACTTGAAAGAGAATTTCTTATCAGCTCACCGGCAAAGACTGGAGGGAGGGCAGAAAGGGAAACAACATACAGTAGTAGATAGAATTGTTTAAGGAAAGAGGAAGCAAGATGTCTGCATAACTGAGATCGCTGGAGTACTCCTTGCCTGTTAGCCACATGCAGCCCACCTACCCACCCTTCCTGTCCAGGGGAAAGAGCAGACTGGGAGCAGATCCTTTCCCATGGCCTAGAACATTCCATTATCAGTGAGTGACCTTCAGGGTGTGCCTCTTTTTTGTTAGCATAGAGTACCTGGAGGACTTGGAGACTGTGAAGATCTGCAGTATACTCTCAGCATTTTGACATTAATTATCACTTCATACGAATGATACTGCAACATTAGCTTTTTGGTTTTTTTAATGTAGAGGAGCACAGAGACACAAATGGATACTCTTTTTTTCAACAAAAGCGTGTCTCTACAGAAACAGCTACAGGAAGCTCCTCACATGTCTGAAAAGAATTCACTGGTTTAGTGCTAAGGACTGGACTAAAATATGGCAGTTTTTGCATATACCCCATCAAAAAGAAACACAAATCATGTACCTCTTGCAGCAGCAGATGCAGAACCAGGCAAGCCCTACCATGACCACAATCAAAATAAAAACAGATACAGTCACATAGAGTATACTCCACTCTGAAAAAAGAAACACAACGGTGCTTTGTAAAGTCATGAATAATTTCTAATACAAACCCTATTAAAATAACCAATTCTGAGAAATGGGGAGTGCCAACAGGAAGTTAGGAAAACTCAGCACATTCATATTCTCAGAAGAATTCCTAAAAACTCTTAAGCTTTAAGACTGAAAGTGCATGTTAGAAAATTTTCTTCCACTCTAATATCTTTTACCATCCAAAGATTTCTGAAGTCTATGTGAGTACTGAAAGTCCTGCAAAGGGGCATGGCTACCACCTCAGTTATCATTCTCTAACTGAAATAAACATAGGTGTACTCTAGGTCTGGCTTTAAAAGAGCAGTAGTGCTTTAAAAAAAGCAGCTGAATAGAGATAGATCTTTCTACCTGCATACTTACATTTATAAATCCATGAAAACAGAAGGATATAGAGAGATGTGCAATAATGTGAACTCCAACATGTGTATGATCACTATTTTCAGTGTTATTATTACACTATGGAATAGCACAGCAGGGCTGCAGGAGGTCCTAGCCTCAGGCTTAAAACCTAGCACCCTCTTTGGGTTGTCATTAAGTCTTTGTTTACTACATAGCCCATGGTTACTTAATGGCTTGTACTAAGCTCCTTATGAGCGTTTATAGATTTACTTGAAGACTAGTGCATTGCTCAGCAAATGTCTCCAAGCCTGCACAGTACTTAGAGAGTTGAGCTTTATTTCAACTTAAGTAGAAGACAAATTAAATTTAAATTTTAGTTTTTTGAAATAGAGAATTTAAGCTGATAAATTAGATGTGCCATAGAATATAGACAGGATGATGCTGGTGAACCTAAATTGCGTCTCCTAGAAGCAACAGGCAAACTGAAAGAAACAGTGGAATTAATCATGCTAAGAAAATGAGGTTCTAAAGGTGACAATATTGGTCAGTCCAGAACACTGATGTCTTCTTTGCTTAGATCAGATCACACTTCTGGCACAGAAGCATCAACCACCCACTCAGAGAATCTAAGTTGCTGTCTCTTTTACAGCTTTGCAACACTCCTACTCAAAGGCTTTCCAGTGCCCATGTTATTCAACAATCCCTCCAACTGGCCCCAAATTGTTGCAAAATTTCTCTCCCGTGAGAAAATTTTCACATATTTTTCATCAGATAGTGATTCTTTTTAAAATTTAAACTTTTAAAATATTTTAAATAAAGGCTACTACTGCCAAGACATTGTAATTTCAGGAAATTATTCAAATATCTTTCTACAGAAATGTACTGCTGGGCCGGAAAACAGAGACCGTTTTAGTCCTCCCTCAACATCTACCTCCTAAGTATTCCCCATTCTGAGAGCAAATAATCAACAGTCGCAAGACTACGAGTTACTCTTAAAATACATTCCACAACACCAAACTCACCACAATTACTCTCTCCATCATTTAGATAACGATGTATCAAGTTTTCCATCCACAGCTGGTAGCAAATGCAGCGCTTTGTTATGGGGTCACAGTGCCCATGTCCAGAGCATTTCAAAAGACAGGCTACAAACAAAACCAAACGTGGGTCACTTGTGTAAATGGACAACTTGTCATGCATCCTTTTTGGGCGAAAGCATCAATTCATTATAAGAAACCCTAGTGGCCTATCTATATTGAAAATATTAGAAGACTAGGTTATAACACAGCAGTCACCCGACCATTCTGCCTGATACTTGCAGACAAGAACAAATTAGGTTACCAGCCTATTTACTGAACACTATAAGCTCTGAAGGAACCAGAGACATGAAACATATCTATATTATGGCTATACTGAATTTTGCCCATCTTCCAAGAAAAGATGTTATGTAAGGTATCCTTATCCTCATTCTCCAGGCCTTCCTGATGCAGACCAGATTAAGATGTACTTTTGCCTGCTGTCACAGATGATGTCTTTTAAAAGAACACAAGTAACTGGCACCAGTTTTCCACAAATCATGAAACATTTTAAGTATTGTCTTCAACATTATCTTTTGGAAAGCTACACCCAAGCCCAGACACCAGATGGCAGACAGAAGGCCTTCATGCACTGTTTCCAGGCACTGTGTTAGCCAAATGCATGCAGAGTTCCAAGATGAGCAAGCACGGTACAAAACACACCAGCCGTGTCAACTCGCAGGACTTTAAAGAGCAGGAAGTCAGCCTTCTGTTTCAAGAGCTGCACGTGCAGAGTTCTTGAGACATCTGATGCCTTGATCACCGTGGAAGGATGCCCGTTCTGCACGTAGAACACAACTGCGGTGCTGCAGAAAGAAGGTCATGACTGCTGTCAAAGATCACTTTTGTCAGGCATTCAGTAATAAAAGTATAAAGGCATATATAGCCTTTAGTTTTGTTTCTGGAAAGCAAATGTCACCACTGATAAAGATTTGGGAATTCTGTCCATGGATCAGTCAACTCCATTCAAATGACACAGACTTCATTCTGAGCTTGGAGCACCAGCAGTTCTTTGGCTTCTCAGTTTCACAGAAGAAATGTGAGGACAACAGCAAATGTAATTCCCTTCTTGGTCCTCCTGACTTCTGCTTTAAGAAGTACATATACATTTTGCTTTCTCCACCCTCATGCAGAACCTGTCATAAAGTGCTCTGAAGCAATTTCACTAACTTTAGGAAACCGAATTAAATAGGAGAAAAAGCTCAGAAGCAAGGGATACAGAGACTTCATATGGAAGCCCTCTTCCCCCATCATCCACAACTTACAAGTTGGGTGGTGTTGATCTCATCCTGTATCAGACACTTCAGGGAACATTTTAATTTAAAACGCTGTTATTAAAAATATCATAGCTATAAATGGTAGATTTTCCAAACTGTGTTTTTAAATTTTAAGAGGTTCCCCTAGAGCTAAATAAACACCAAAATGGGCTTTAAATTGCCAAGTAGTTAACAGGAAGGAATTTAAAGGTAACTCATGTCAACATGAGTTGGGTTCTGTGGGCATGCACAGCCATCTCTAGCTCTCTACAGCAGGTGGAGAGGGTATTTCTACTTCAAAGTAAAATGCCACATGTAGGAGTACCCACTGTGGAGTTTCCTCTGCAAAAAATGGGTTTTCATTACCAGTCACCTGGGAAAATGATTATAAAATATTAAAAATATCGAAACCTTAGAGAAGAAGTAGAAACAAAATGGTTTGATCAAATAGAGTTGGAACCTTATTTTGAAATACAATACTTGCTTCACTGTGAGAAAGTCTCTCTGTTTCGCTCTGTCCAGCATTTTGAAAAAATAGCAGCACTTTAGGGAACAAAGACACTGAAATATATATCCATGCACTTTCTCTAAAGGAAAAAAATAAAAAAATCTATACAGAAAAAGTTTGATTTTTTTTTAAACAAAATACTTCAGTTCTAGACCTCCACAGAGCTTATTTCATCGATTTTCTACCGCAGAAGACATTCACCTCTTAAAGTACATTCTGTTGAGAAGTACAGCATTTTTTGTCATCTTACAAAAGATTATTTTGCAACTAATTATGAGCTGTGAAAGAGGCAAAGAAAATCACAAATCTTTCAGGTACAGGAGGATATCTTTGTACCTTATATCTGAGTAGGCTTGTATCTTCTGAACTTTGATATCTGAATCCAAAACATTCAGCAATACAGCCAGCTGTCTCACCAGAGTGTCCTTCTGCTGTTCACTCAGCTGTCCCACTCCAACCTGCAGAATCAGCTCCACCAGACCATTCCTTTTGGGATCTGACAGAAGAAGAACATACTATTCTTTCAGAGCCTGGCAAATATTTCAGTACCAACTGAAGACAACATGCAGTACTTGAAAGTATTTATTAATACTATATTTTCCTGTATAAGACCTGTATCACTGAAAAGCCAACTCTTTCATGTTCTTAAAAAAGTACTTAGCCTATATTGTCACATTCCCTCTGAAACAAACCAATCTCATCAATTGAAATAAGAGTACTTCAGGGTGCACTTCAGTTCAGCATTTACATATTTCTGTGCAGAATAGCAACTTCTGCTCCCCTTAAAGTCAGAGGTAAGCATTAGGTGAGTCTAATTACTGAGTTCCCTGCTACTTATTTACTGCTGGTTATCACTCAGGAAAAGAGAGCCAAAGATGAACTTGTATGTCTGAGAATGGCAAATCTGAGAAATATCAGATATGTTTACTCTTACAAACTGAGGGTTCTGTTAAATAGTAACTGGACTTCTAGAGTGCCTTGCAAAGAAAAGAAACTTCACAGTTATCCAGTGAGAATCACGACCCAATTATTATGACTACATTCAACAATAAAGTGAGGAACAGAAAATCACTGCCCAGGAGTCAGACAAGCAAAAAAACTGAAGCTTCGACTTCCATCATATAGCTATTCATCCTGCATTTGAAAACAAGTCTATAATACAAGCAATATCAAACCATGAAAAGACAGTTTACGTCTCCCTAACATTCTCTGAGGACTGCTTTTTTCCTTCAGGAGGAAAGAAGAAAAACAGACATAAAGCCACACTATCAATCATCAAACACACATCTGCAGCATTTGTACCTAGACTTAATGTTTAGCTCCCATCTCTTTCTACTGGCCAAACAGATTACAGTCAGAAAAAAAGAAACAAAAACCTACAATGAATGAAGAGGAATAAAAGCCTAATGAAAATATTAACTAGAAAGTATAATTTTCATTTATTGATGCTCCCACTAAGGTGATTGTAGCAGTTAAGAATCCTGACATGTCAACTTCTAACACACTCAGGCCTATTCAGAGAACAATAAGGTAGGAAGAGAAAGACCTGTTTGCTTTGAGAGAATCTTGTCAACATCTAAATAAATAAGTGAAAAGGAGAACAAAGATGTGGTATTCACAACGTATCGATGACCTTTTAATTCTCATACCAGGCCGCACTTCAACAGTTGCTGAATCAACATCTGAGTCTCCTTTAGCATCCGTCACTTTCAAGTGGAAAGTATAGGTTCCTTCCACCAGATTAGTTAGCTGCAGTACTGCCTCGTGGTCCGAGCCATGGATCACATCCTGCAAAAAAAAGGTACTGGAATAATTACACCCTAAGGGAAAGCTGCAGGTTTGACTATCAAGTCGGCTATCCGGTACGACAGTGTGAGTTCTTGCTTTGACTTTCCGGACAAATGTGACCTACCCATAGTTTATAGCAGAGTAAGGACAGTTTGGAAGTGAAAGTTAATGAGGATGTCTGCACAGTATGGATATTTTCATTAAAAATACCCCAGAAAGAACAGCTGAAAATCTGAAGAACTCATTTGCTTGAAAATTCGAGACAGTTACATTATTATTTCTCTATTTTATACCACTATCCTTAGTTCTGCTTTTTTAACTCTTAATTTCCTTTCCTCCGAGTTCATGTATTTTCAACTATCAACTCTGCCAGCTGTATTTAAGCTAAGCCTCTTCAATCCTTACACACTCATGTGAATTGCCTCAAGAAGCTTTGTTTGGATTTTGCTGTTTCTCCTCTCTCAGCACTTGCTGATTTTTCAGTATCTTCCTGAGTGCAAAGAACTGTCCACAACACTTTGTGAGATAGGGAAAACAAGTTATCCCAGGTTTAGTAGGACATATAAATTTCAGTTTATCATGAGGTATTTCTGCTTTCTGCCTCTCTCAGAGAGCAGACTCCTCTGCCCTAATGACCCAGGCTATTCACCATGGTCTGCCAAGCAAGGTATCTACACATCTAGCATCAAATACCATTTTTATCTTAAACTGCAAGTTTTACCTCATCTGGTATCAGACATGATCCCTTAGTCTTTATCAGTACTTCTTGTTCTCTCAGATCCTTACTCCTCTGGAACAGCTGGATTTCAGATGATTTTTCTCTCTAACACATTAGCTTGATACTATCAGCAATTACTCTGAGACACAGCTTTATTCTTCTGTCTCAAGTCTTTCCCAACTAAGTCCACATTGCTGCAGTGCTCTTCCTTAGCTATCATCTTCTCTAGCTGTACTGAAAATATCACAACCCCCTTGAACTACAGCATTAGAGAGAGCAGGGGAGACAAACCAGAACACCATACATCACAGCATCTTATGAGTCACACCTGCTCTCCTGGCTGCAATGACATTACATGAATAACAAAAGCAGAATTTGACTCATTACAACCCTCAAGAAACTCACCCCAGCTGCTGGGCTTTGACCGTCCCGAATCCACAAATATGACACAATCCCCTGGTCATCAGCAGATCTTGAGCCATCCAAGGTAACAGAGTTATTTGGAAGCACGAGAACATGTTTCCCACCAGCGTGCGCCCGAGGTGGACTGTTGTTTTCTAGCCACAAAAATAGTGGAGCATAAGGATTTGCTTTCAAAACATGAGAAATGTGACCTGTCATTGCCAATACACCCACACTCCAATTCTTTACCTGATAATTACAGACAATAACAACACAACCTCATGTTAAAGCTACAGGGAAAGGATGAGTGGGTATACAAAATTTGGCTTCAGAATTATTACAGTCTAACAAAAGCACAGCTGCACCATGAGGAGAAAGATCTTTTTCAAAAAGAATTGTGGGATATTCTATTTAGAGTCTCACAATAACTTAAGCATCAGATCTTCTCAGTCAAACAAAAAAATTTTCTACCTACTTAGAAACAAGGCCCAGCATGAGGTCACCATGCTGGGATATTTCCATCTGGAGAATCACTTATTATCCAGTAGAAGCTTGTGCAAGAACTTATATCTTCATAATGCCTGTATTTAGGCAATCAGGAAATTTAAGGGTAAATCTAGTTCTCACTGCTTACCACTAGCAGTGAGATTAAGGCACACATTGGGCACATGGCAAAAAAAAAAAGCCAGAGAAACAGAAACATGCTCTCTTTCCAGAAACCAGACATCACTGACTTTTCTTTAGAACACAACTGATAAGAGAGAGATCCAGTAACCTGTGGGGCTGAGTGAAATACCTCACTGGACATAATTAGTTGGAGATAAATAATTCAATATTGGGCACATCTCAAGGGCCTTGGCTATAACTCTATTCTTTAGAACAGCAGAGAGTTTTCTGTGATACAAGGGATTTGTCTCTTTCAAATAAAAGCAGTTGACTAAACTTGGTTATTGGAAAACTAAGTCTTTTTAATACTGAACCTGTGACTGTAGACAAAACATACTGTGGCTACACTTCACACCACAAATGAGACCATAAAACACATTTGGGCAGAGCTGTTGCCACGTATTTCTAATTAAACACCTAAATGAAACTCTGAAATGGTTCAAGCAATGATGCATATGGGTAAAACAAAGTCCAGCTTCTTCTTGAAGAGGCACAAAGGTCAGGGCAATCCCAAGCTCAAGTGCAAGTTGGGCAGAGAATGGACTGAGAGCAGCTCTGAGGAGAAAGACTTGGGGGTGTTGGCTGACAAGAAGTTCAAAATGATCCAGCAATGTCCACTTGCAGCCAAGAAAGCCAACCATATCCTGGGCTATTGCTGAAGAGAGCACAACCCTGGAAGTGTTCAAGGCCAGGCTGAACAGGGCTTTGAGCAACCTGGTCTCATGGAAGGTATCCCAGCCCACAGCAAGATGGTTGGGACTAGATGATCTTTATGGTCCCTTCCAACCCAAAATAGTCTATGATTCTATCATTATCCTAAAGCCTCTTCCACCACATGCATGTTGGGGAAAAAAACACACAAAGACCCCAAATCACCAAAACCCCACACCACAGCAGCTGTTTTCCTCTCTCTAAAAAAAACCCAAAAAAACAAAAAAACAAACAAACAAAAAAAAACCAAACAAAAAAAAACAAACAAAAAAAAACCACAAAAAAACCCCCAAAACAAAACAACAAAAAAAAACCAAAACAAACAAACAAACAAAAAAAACCAAAAACAAACAAACAAACAAAAAAAAACCCCAACAACAAAAAAAACCAAACCAAAAACCAGGTCTCTTACTACTAAATTTTTAAGTGGAGATAGGTTCACTGAGATGTCGCTTCTTGGAGGTTACTGAAAATCCACAGTAAAACTGCTTTTCTGCTCAAAGCATAACTTCAAAAATAAAATAAAAATGTATCTTCTTAGTGATGTAAACATATCACTGTCAACAATATTAATTTGGAACATTTTTATTACAAATAATTTTGCATATATTGAACTTTAAAATATCTTGCAGCAAACAAAATTAATTCTGCCAGTCACTTACAATACTACTTTATTACAGAACAGCAGACAAATCTTACTGAACACCCTCGAAATACGACAACAAATATATTATAACTGTTCTGATTTCCTTTACATTCTGTCAGCAATTGCATTAACTGGCAAGCTGCCCACCATATCCTAAGACACAGAAACAAGGCTTCCCTGCCTTCGAGGCTTACCTTCCTTCACAGTTATAGACAGCACAGATGCACTGCTTAAGCCCTGCTGGTCTTTCACAGTCAGCCTGAAGCGATAGGTACCAACTTGAAGACCCGTCACAGTTGCTATTGCTTTGTCATCATTTTCCATCTGTACAGAGCTTGGTCCACTGAAACAAAACATGTCAGAAAAATAATCCTGCATAGCCAGCCAAACATTTGTTCGGCAGCACTGCTCATGCCATTTGCTTTTATTTTATAGCACTGATGGCTAAAGAACTATATGAGACGCTAGTTTAGTTCAGAGAATGCATAAATGCATTTTTTCGAGGCATTCAAAGCACGCAAGCACCACATACCCAGTTATAAAAAGAGTAGAAAATGCACCCCAAAAGTTCAATCTCACCACTATACTATTCCATGGGAGCATGCAGATGATATTGCTCTAAGAGCCACTCACAATATGTACTGGCTGCCAGCAGACCTCTTCCTGTATGAGGTATGATGCTTGCATGAGCTAATAGCTTGTCCTTTTATTAAGGATCAGATAGATTTGCACATAAACATACAAACTTTTGTAGAACATTTTCAATCATCACTCAAGACTGCTTTAGTCAGTCATTACTGAAAGTTCAGGATAAAGTGACTGTCAATTTACTTTATTATTCAAAAAACAAGTAACTGAGAAACTCTTGTTCATCTAAGCACTAATGGGAAAACTTCGTATATTACAGGGGGGTACCCAAGCCTGCTGCTTTCTTTTTAAACAGGAGACACAGAAATTCCTGTCATTTTTTCTTAATTTTATAAAAGTAGGCCTCAAAATGACACATTGCAAAACATACACAGAGGTTGCCTAAGCTTTTCAAGTTGAACTTAAAATTACTATTTCTTACCCTATTACCACCCAAGTGGGAAGGTCCCGAAAGCAATTCCCAAACAGTGCATCACCCAACACAACTGCATAAGAGACTCTAAACACTTTCACTTTGTTCTCTATTTTATTGGAGATTAGTAAAATCTCTAGATACCTGATATTTTCCCAATGATAGAAGACAATGCCTTGGTCATCTTGGCTTTTGCTTCCATCCAGTGTAGCACTTTCTACTGGGAAGGTCAATTCTTTGTCAGGGCCAGCCACTGCTACTGGAGGACTGTTATTTTCTGCAAAATAATATTTAGTGTATGACATTTGCTATGTAGTCACTGGCAAGCCTTTCCAATCAGAGGGAAGATTTTACACAGAATATTTTATTAAAGAATTGATATATTGGCTCTAAAGGCACAAATCACAAGTATAACATGCACGAGCCAGCAGGTAGCAGAGATCAGCTCTGCAACAAGCCAAATACCACAGCAAATACTTCCCCTTTGCACTGCAGGCACAGTCACACTCCCAAAAATTTTGCTGCATGCTCAGTGCATTATATGAAATGTTACATAACAGGAGTGGTGGGGTATTCTCATGGTCCTACTGCTCCATCTCTTTCAAAACCTCTCACTTGGTTCTTTGCCCTCAAAGAAGATACTGACCTGTGTTTTCTGCTGCTCAAGGTCAGCACGACGCCACCAACTTAATGCCAGTTCAGACCCTTTGAAGATTTAGTGCAAAAACATGTAACCTGTTATTCTGTTTTCAGCCTCTGCTTTTGTGGCATGGTAAAACTAGCAATGCTGCCACTTTCCTGGGTATTTATTTGCCTTTAGGCCTGACTTCAGCAATAGCATCTTTCTAGCTCCACACTATAGCAGGTCTTAAAGGCACCACCACACACTGTACTTCCAATTTACGTTCTTGATTTCTGCAGTAAATGCCCACTGTAAAGTTGTGCCGGAAGAGATCATCTACAAAAAAGATATTTATTAAGCAACAAAAGGAAGATAAAACATTGCCCCGTGGTGGAATGTGAAACCTTCACATTGGCAGAAAAGAACACTTTGGATGTAGTAGGCAAACATGTTACAAAAAGAAAAGGTATTAAAAAAAAAAATCTCATGAGGCCTGGACCATTTGCGCTCATTCATCTCTTGGCTCCCAAAACTAAACAAGCATTTGAAAGATACAGCTTTTGAAAACTCCTTGCTTGACACTTTTCCTTAGAAAGCACAATGTAATTCTGGTGAGAATTCAAATCACACAAGGACTCTTGCACAAGAACTGCACAACAATAAGAAAACTGAGCAAAGCACTGATTGATACTCTGAACAGTTGTGGTGGTTTGAGCCCCCCCCTCCCGGAGGGGGGCTGGAAGTGGTTGGTCCCAGGTGAGTTTCTGATGTGGGACCAATCGGAGCTGTTTTTCGCCCCTGTGAAATTAGGATATTACAACAGCCGGAAGGAAGTTGTTGGCAGTGTGAGAGAGATTCGGAGCCATGAGGTGAGAGGAGAGAGGCCTGCGGGCCCCTTGCAGGGGGCCAGGCCCTCTCTCCCCCCTGGCCGGGCTGCAGGGAGCCCAGGACAGTATTGAAACTGAACCGGGTGCTGTGGCCAAAGGCTAGGGGGCTTTTCCCCCCACTGCCCAGGAGAGGCGGTGGCGTGGACTTGAGAGGCCAGCCAGGGGGTTGGAGCTAGCCCTCCCCACCCCAGGAGGCAGGTGAGGCATTAGAGCTGAGCCAGAGATGGGCTGAGGGGTGGTTCGGAGCCAGAGAAGCAGCTGCGATCATACAGAGATGGAAAAACTCCAGGCAGAGGAGAGAGACTGACGCAGTCTCGCTGCTACCTTCTCCCCCCCCATAATGACGGGGGAGGTAGCGACCTTGAGCTGAGACTGAAGCAATGAGAGACGGGCCGAGGGGCTCGGAGGAGGCTCTACACGAAGTTTGGGTAGGGGCAGCCAAAAACCAAAGGAGGAATGCGGGAGGGAGGAATGCCTCCCTGTGACATGTGGAAGCTGAGCTGATGCAGCAGCTGGAACAGAGAGAAGGCAAATCAAGCAGGCTTTTTCTGGGTAAGGACTTTTGGTGAAAAGTATTTGGGGTATAAAAAACTGAGCAAGACCCAGAAACCCTGCAACCTGGAGAGGAAAGAGCGAACATCTACTCTCTGGGAGAAACTTTCACGAACCAGGGAGAAAGGACTCAAAGCTGATTCCCTGGACCTCGTGATGAAGACCTGGTAAAGCAAATGTTCCTCTGCAGTCCAGGAAGAGACCTCAGCAGAAGCCGAGGAGCTGGTGGGGGTGCAAAAGACCCCTTCCCCAATACCCCAATGAGAGAGACTTCAGCTATCGCCCTGAAGGTTTTTCTTCTGAACTGATGTGGGAGGACCCCCAGGGGTGGTAGAGATTGTATTAGTACTGTGTATTTATTTGCTTTTTAGTTTCTATAATATTTATTGTGTTAGTAATAAATTTTGATACAATTTCCCCATGCTGAGTTGTGCCTCTCTGAAACCTTCTCTCTCTTGCATTGAGGTAAATTGTGGGGGAGCTTGGAAATTGGATATTTTTGAGGTCAAACCTCCACAACAGCTTTCAAAACAAATTTTGTAGGACATTAAACCGAAGACCTACAATTTAGCTTTTAGAAGCATTTAAACAGATCTCTGTGCAGGTAGCCTTACACCATCAGGCTGGTGTGAGCCCTCAGGATCACCACCTGGACTTTTATAATTCTACACTTGTTTTAACTGTCTGCTTTGACAGAAAACAGAGGTGGAAGAGTCCTTGATGCAGGGATAGCAGACATCCCTGCAGTGTGGGGACATAAGACACTGGAAAATAGTGCTAAGGCATTGGGCTGGCCCACCCCAGAGGTGCCTGCAGGTGACTTACCAGGCTGCACGATGAGTGTGACCTCAGCCGTGGACCGCTGCCTTGCAGAGTCTGTGACAGTCAGCTGAAACGTGTAATCTCCTTCCTGCATTGCAGATAACTGGAGGTACGGTGTCCGCACTCCCTTCACAGCATTTGTGAAGACAGAGCATGAGATAAAACAGGAGTGTTCATGGATAATGAAAGGTCTTACAGAGCAAATGTGAGGGAAAAAAATGTTTTAATTCATAAATACGGTGTTTGAGCAACACTTTGAGCACCTTGCAGACAAAGGGGAGGCTTAAAATTTGGTGCACAGATGGATGTAATGTGTTCATGATTGCAACTGTCCCTACCAAACCTAGAGAAATAACTACAGACAATAAATCCTACTTTCTCCTGCTGGTACAATTATTGCATTATTTCTGAACAACAATAATTCTCAATCAGGAAATTAAACACTAATGAAAATTCCTATAGCTCATTACATCTCCTTAGGGATATTTTGAAAACAAACATCATGACATTTGTTAATATTTATAAAGATTGTTAAACGCAAAATCAGAATTGAACCCAGAAAGACAGGCTTATGAGGAAAAAAACATATCAAACAAGATAAATCTGTCCTGAGTTTACTCTTTGAGAAGTATTAGCTGATACCTATATAAGCTCATAAAATGACTGGGCCCAGCTATAGGTCTTTTTTCTAATAAAATGAACATTCGTGGCATCTCTCACATGGGGAATAACAAATCACAATGCAATTACGTTTGGGGGGTTTTTTGGACAAAGATGATAATGAGAACTAAGGGACTTGATAAACTATTAACTAATCAGCATTTTAACAATGGATACCACATCAGAGACCAGCATCCTCTGGAACAGGTCCAGAGAAGAGCCATGAAGATAGATCAGGGCGCTGGAGCACCTCTCCTATGAAAAAAGGCAGGAAGAGTTGGGGTTGTTCAGTCTGGAGAAGAGACCTTATAGCACCTTCCAGTACTTAAAGGGGGCTTAAAAAAAGGAGTGAGAGGGACTTTTTATATAGGCAGATAGTGACAGGACAAGAGGGAATGGCTTAAAACTGAAAGAAGGTAGGCTTAGCTTAGATATTTGAAGAAATTATTTACTCATCGTGGTGAGGCACTGGAACAGGTTGCCCAGAGAAGCTGTGGATGTCCCACAGCTGTGGAAGTGTTCAAGGCCAGGTTGGATGGGGCTTTGAGCAACCTGATCTAGTGGAAGGTATCCCTGTCCATGGCAGCAAGTTTGGAATTAGATGATCTTCAAGGTCTCTTCCAACCCAAACCATTCTATGACTCTATGATCCTCAGCTTTAGGTACATGAAAAAGACTACTGGTGTGTTGAAAAGAAACTGTAACATGCACTTGCATTTCCACATTAAATACCCAATGAATCCACTGGATATCATTCAGATATATTCATATCTGAAGCAGTCATTCCCTTCTTTCAGGAAGGTTGTTTTAAGGTTGAACAGCTCTCAAAAACTGTAAGTTCAGCTTTCATGGATGCTTTAGGAAAGTTTTTTTTCTTGGTGAATGAACAGAAATAAGCCATAATGCTGCAAGTCCTTCCTTAATTCTGTAATTGTCTCTACAGTATAGGCTTGCATTGATATTATTCCTTTTCTAAACAGATCTACAAAGTAATCTCTTCCCAGTTATGAAGGCCTAAAGCATTTGCCAACATAGCAGAAATCATGTCTCCCATAAAAAATGGCTTCTCAGTTTCAGTTGGCTTCATTACATTACATTAATTACCTCAACTGCCTACAGAGCTGTAAGAATCTCCAACTTACTGAGTGCAAGTCCATTAAAAAAATTTATTAGCTTTTCTCAGATTAAAAAAACCCACAACAAACCAAAACAAACAAACCAAAACAAAACAAAAAAACCCAACAAAACCAACAAAACAAAACAAAACAAAAACAAACAAACAAAAAAAACCAAACAAAAAAAACCAAACAAAAAAAAAAAAAAAAAAAAAAAACCAGCCATGAAAATAAGGGAATAAATTCCATAAACCCTCAATGGAAATCCATGTTTTAGTGAGCATAAAAACCCATCACAGAGCACGGCTACACAACACTGCCAAAAGGTCTTGTCATCTTTCATGTCAATTCAGAAGATCAGGTTCCCATTTGAGTTCTACTCTCTCCAGGAGAAAGCATTGCAAGAAAACTCTGACTACCCCCACGTTCTCTCCTAACCAGTTTTCAGTATGCCCAGCACATCAGAAGATGGGAACCTGTGAAGCAGGTTCAAGAACAAACAGTGTGAACTTCATGTATTTTCAAACCACCAGGGAACAAATAACAGTGTTCGGCTGGACCTAAGGAATGAAAACAATTATGATGAGGAATTAAAAGTAGTATCTAAAATAAGAGCTGAATACATCTAAGAGGACAACAACAACAAAAAAAAGAGTAACATCATTCTAGATATTTCAGTGCTTCTGAGCAGTTACTCAGGTATGTGTTTGCTCATGTCAGAGGCAAAGGTAAAAGAGCTTTCTAATCCTATGCAAGGAGAAATTGACATACCTGCATTGCTACAACCTTGCCTTTGCTTTTGGGACTGAGGGACCACTCATAGCTGACAATTTCATGGTCGTCACTGCTTTGGTTTCCATTTAGCGTGATGAAGTTCTGGGGCAAGGTGACTGCCTGATTAGGTCCTGCATTAGCAATAGGTGGGTAATCCACTGGTTTGTTGACAGTCAGAAAAGCAATGGTGGAGTTGGCTGCTCCATCTGAATCAATCACTGTGAGTCTATAATAGAAAACCAGTATCTGTTAAGATGGACTTCTGCCAAGATCTAAATTCAAAGACTTATTTTTTCTGGTAGTTTTTCAAACACTACATAAACCAGAGACACTGATTAGATGATACAAACTTCTCCTTCAGACACACTCAATCCTCAACTAAGATAGGAAAGATTCAGAAAACTGTTCACAAACAGAGCTTTCAACATTTGGGGAAAAAAAAAAAAGCCTAGCTATTCTGGATCCCAGATGAAACCCTCTGCCTGCAGTCAATGGCAGCTTCACCAATTTCAAACAGATTTCACTGCAAACTCTTTTAAAAATGTACTCAGTAAAAACCAGGGATTTCATTCATCAGCCATAGTGAAAGAGTCCCTGTCAACATCTATAGCTAGAACTGCTTTGGATTTTCAAAAGCTCTACTTATAGCACAGCAGTAGATCCTAACTTCTTATTTCTTCGTGGCACACTATTACTAACTTTAATAGAGCTTAATATCAATGTCAAGTCACAAAACTAAAAAAGTACAGGGTTTAAAAAAATCCAGACATTACTGCCTCTCAGAAACACAAAACCAAATCATCTTAAAATGAGACCGTTGCAGACACTTGAAGGGGATGAAACCTGCCCTCCACAGTGCAGTAACTGACTAATCTCTAATCCTCCTCTGTTGTGAAAACTGCAGACAGGTGACCACATGGAAGGGAACCTGGGTGGGAACAAAACTAGTGCTCATTAGTTCTGTCATTAGGGAACACATACTTTTTGCAATGGGTGCACATCCATGCATATCAAGAGAACTGGATTTTATTGACCAGCTAATTTCTTGTCAACTAGAACATACTGCTCTAGTCAGCCTCCCTCAAGGGTGCAGAGATATAACAATTAATTTCTTAATTTCTTAGGTTTGGAACACACTTAAAAGTATTACTTGCAAGAAAGCTCTTTTTTAATATGGAAAAAAATTCACACTAATTTCTGCTACTGTACAATATGGAATAATTCCAGTAAAGAACACAGAATGAAAGTAGAAGCTATAGAACTTTTGGTGAAGCTTATGCAAACCACCACATTTAATGTATACGTATGATGGCTTCGACATTCTGCTGATGCTTCACTGATATACAATGTATTGACTGGTAGCCAAAGAACACAAGCTGGGTAAGTGGGAAGTCTGCCTGCCTCCGTGAAGACTAGGCTTTAAGTTAAAAAGTTCAGAAAAGCGACTTAGATTTTCATTAAGCACCCCAAACCACAAACATTGCTTCCATTGTCTGGACAAAACCCAGCTTCAGCAGTGCATAAATAGAGGAAACCAGTAGCAGAGCAAAGGCTTTTATGAAGAACAGAATAAGTCTCAGTAAAATCAGCATATAACAATGTCTTGTGAGGATCAGTCTGCCAATATTATTCTGTCTGCCACCACCCTTCAGGGGATGACTTTGACACCCTGACTGCATAATTTCATCTCAGGGCACTAGCTATCTTCTAAGCTGGGGAAAAAAGTAATAAAAAGAGTTTTGTCAGAGTTGTTATTGCTGAAAGTGGGAGGTATTTAATTTACATAACTTTGTGCTAAAAAGTATCACTGTGCTGGTATCACAAAACCACTGCCAAGCACTTTTTAATAAAACTGCTCCCTAAGTCTCTCCTCTGTGCAAAGTGAAGGGTAACAGCATGCAGAAAAAAATGAAGTTTTCTGTTTGAGGAGGTAGATGTAAGCACAAAGGGAAACAAACATTTAGCTGACATCACAGAAATAATTAAAGCCCCAAAGGAAAGCATCTGTGCAGGTACCTGAAAGTGTAGTTTCCAGGAACAAGGTTAGACAAGTGCAAGACAGGTGTGTCAGCAGATGCCTTCTGCTCTCGCAAGGGACCTTTAATTTCTTCCCAGTGGTAACTCACTATCTTCATATCATCTATACTTTCTACATTCATTAAAGAAAAACATATCAGTTTCTTGTAGCAATTGCTGAAATGAATGCTAAAGTCTTTCATGCACTCATCTCTTACTGGTTTTCTACACCTGTCTCTTCAAGTACATTTGAAAAGGCTTCATACACCACAGATTCCAAGTTACCTTTGGTATAATTTTTTGAAACAATTTTTCATACACATGGATAAAAAAAAAAATTCAGTCTCAGACTGCACATTCCAACTTGTCTACTCTCAGTAACTATGAATATAATTACAACATTTCATCACACCCTATGTGACAGCTCTCTACCAAGGCCTCAGCTGCAGTGGCACAGAAGAAGCTGTAAGAGCAGCTGCTGTTTGGATGCAGCAGCCCCTGACACATTGCATCTCAATCTCCAAGTGGAAGGTTGCATTTCATAATTTTTTAAATTTATTAAAATAATTTAAAACTGGACTCAAATCTCCAAAATAAATCATGATTTATCAGAAAACTTCTGAGAAGAGTGAGAAGAAGCAATTCCACTTACAACTGACAAACAATAATGTCGTAACTGTATATTAAAAATACAGGATATAAACACAGGAGGGTCCAGTACGTACGACTGCCATCGATGAAGGTGGAAGTTGTAGGCAAAGAAACTTCTTGCACTTTGGGGGAAGCAACAGCGACAGGCGGCTGGTTGACTCTGAGGGCTGTGAGACAGACAGGGGGGAAGAAAAAAAAATATGAGTGAGAGCCCAGGCAAAACTAATGTTAAGTCTACAGATCAATAGTCCCCAGTGATTAAATCCAGATCAGACAGCTTTGCAGCAGCATCTGCTGTCCTTTTTGGACAAGGGAGAGAAAAGGTTACTGAATAGCAGTGTGCTGACACAGCAGTCTTCCACTGCAGCTGCTTCTAACTGGTATAATTCAGATCAGACCCATGCACTGTAATTTGTAGATAGAGCCAGATCAGTGCCTAATTGCTGTACTGGAGAAGGAATCATAAAAGGGGACATGATGCTATCTCGGGCTTTGCCTGAGGAGGGTGAAAGACCAGAAAGCACTTAAACATAGTGAGCGAGCTCCTTAGCTCTACTTCCTTAGAACCCTTTATAGACATCAAGACACGAAACATGTCAGCATGACTGGACTGCCAGATGTCCTTGACAAACAGTAACAGGTATGTATGAGGAGATAAGCATGCTGTACAACTACTTGTGTTGAAAAAATTAATTATTTCAGCCAACTGACTTACCTGGTTTGACTGTGACATTTACAAAACCTTCACCAAAGGCATTTACACCAGAAACTGTCACTTTGAAGGCGTAAAGTCCCACTGATAACTGAGACAAACACAAAACAAATTGGGTTACATATTGAATTATCCAAAAGCAGTATGCATAAATCTGACAATCATATTGTAAATGGAGAAAAATCTGGATATCTGAATTCTCAAGCTACTTTTATAAACACATACACAAAAGACCACTAGTCACTGCCTGGAAGTGGGGAATATGAAGCAAACACTTAGGAATTTTTTCTCTATTTAGAAAATTATTAGAGCACGCTAGAAAAGACACTTCTAATCTTGCATAGATTTGGTGACACGCACAGGTGAAGACATTCCAGATGACTTGAGGTCATTTGAACTCCTTGAATCAAGGTGCCTTTCCCCACAGATTACAATTCTGTGAAAGGACCACACAGATACAATGAGCCTGAGCTTACAGCTCACTTACATGAGAGAGCTTCAAAGTCTGGCTGTGCCTGTGCTCCATTTCACCACCGTAGTCAGCAGGGTGGCTGATAAGGCTCCACTCATAGGTGTAAGCTGTTTCTAAGAGCAACAACACAGTGTAAGAGTAATCAGTTCTGCCTTCAAGATAAGAAAACAAAAGAAATCAAGTTCACCATCCATCAGATGAAATGCTAAAGTAGGAAATCATGACTGCTGCTCTTTAAGCCTTCAAAATGAAGCAGTATGAATCCATGTTGAATATCCAGTGTCTTGCAACTTGGTAAAGCAGCAAGGATGTAATGGACTTCACAAATAATCTTCTTCACAAAAACGAGCTTCACATGAAGTAAACGTGTTTTACACAGCTGCCTATGAAATATGTATTAATTGCTGCTGTAATTCAAAAGCTGGCAGTTTTAAGGTAAATGTTGCATTCAAAACTTACTTTCCCCACTTCCCTCCCATTTTACAGCAAGATGCTATAAACTGGGCCACATCATCTTTTAGCAGAAACTACAGGCTTTTTATTGAACCCTCTTGCTAATGAGTTTAGGTTCTGAAAATAAAAGTCACTTAAAAAAATTCATCCTTAAAATCCAAAGGAGAAAATCCTCTCTGCAGTTGGAGCCACAAAAGAGGTAGTAGTAGGAAATGAGGAAAATTGTTTTATCCTAAGGAGCAGATGTTCACATAACTCAGAACTTGTCTGCATTTACAGGTTGGTAGTGTGTGCATCTCCTTGTATACCAAGGCTATTCAACTCACCTGTAGATGGTGGTGGGACGGCAAAGGCATTCAGTTCAACCTCATTTTTGGGTAACATCACTTGTATGTTATCTCCAGCAGACACAATAAGTTCTTTTACTGTATCTAAGACAGAACAAGTACACTATGTTATAACAGATGGAACTGATATAAATTTAGTATCTTCAAATATTATTTCCAATGGATTAATTAAAATTTGACAAACACTCTATAGGGAACAAGCAAGAATAATTAAAAAAAATTCCTCATACATAGTAAAATAATAATCTATTATACTCATAACTGTGGTTCCCTCATCTTCCACCAAACCAAAGTTTTTCTTCTTCCCCATCTATGAAGTGTCATTTTCCCTACTTCTGTTTTAGAGAAAAGTATTCTGATTATTCTGATTATTCCAGTACATCACAGGTAACATTGCTGTACATAAAGAATGACATATTTTTATCAGTAACTGGATAGAAATGCAGGAATTTAAAAAATACACAGAGAAGACAAAAAGGCTATTTGCACTAGAGCAAATATCATTAAATAAAGTAACATAGCTCATACTAGAACTAAATATCACACTTTCTTTCACCAAGAAACACTGCTTCTATGTTTGTGTGGCACTTGTATGTCATGCTCCAATGTCCATCTCAGTGTCCCTTTTAAAAACTCCACTTGTATAGCAGGGCAAATGAACTGCACACTCAATCCCTTTGCTATCCAGTTCTCGTCTGCGAAAACTCTTTCCTCTTCCAAAAAATGCCTAAGTACACAAATACAGTCCCCAACAGAAACATACTAAAGCACAACTTCAGTAAAGTTCCCATAGACCTGAATTTCAAAGGTTTTAAATGTCTTCCTTTTAATATTGGGGAACCACAGAACAGAGGTTCTCCAAAAGGTAACATTCACGAGTGTATAAACATCCAACTTACAAACTTGGAATAGATGAGCAAGAGGCTACTCAGCAGTGGCAGCTGATGAGCTTAAAAATGGATGAGGTGAAGAGGCCACCCTGGCAGCACACTTTCTGTCACTGCTAGTTAAATGCACCCAAGGCTCCACAACTGATCATAGGAGTTGCCCTAGACACCTGTGGAGTGGAAGTTTGCATTTGGAACTCCACATGAGAGGAGAATAAAATGGCTAGAAGAGGGTGATGACCAAAGCAGAGGAGGAACTGTCATTGGCTAAGAACACATAAACTTGAGGCAATCCCTGTATAAAGCAGTAGCTATGGTGAGATTCATCACAACCTTCCCTTCAGCTTCTTCTTCCAAGCTCCTTTTTGAGTCCTCTTCAACCTCCTCTTGTGAAGGAGGAGGAGGAGCTGCCTAGTCAACAGTCAATGGTAATGATGATCCACTCTCTTGGAGAGGGATCTCTTGTAGCTCATCTTTTCCTGTTACCTTCTACTGCTATCCTGCCTGGTAGTTTGCAATTTGGCAGAGAGTGCCAAGAATGTCCCAAACCAGAACTGCTCTACCAGGAAGCAAAGGGCTTAGCTCTCCATATCCCTCGGTGCATCAGGAGTGCAGAAAAACACACATCTGTGCTTTTCTGTTTCTTGTACCCTTCTAACCCTTTGTCAGAGTGCCCAGGGAAAACTCAGCAGGAGAGAGGAGACACTAACATACACACAGAATTTAACACAGCTACAGGGGACGTAGTGGTTAAACATCCTTTTCAAAATAAAAACTTTTGCTCTGCAGTTGGAAGTGTGATAAGCCTCCTTGCAGTTCTGAAACTGCAGCAAAACTTTCTTTTCCCAGGATGAGGAGGCCATATTCTCCCCTGCTAAGGGCTAGGCTTCTCCTCTACTAAGGGCTGAGCTTCCTCAGGTCCCACCTATGCTGCTGCATGTTATCTGACAACTATACATAGTGGGAAGCCTACTGGAGAGTTTCTGAGAGGGATCAATGTTCTGAAGTCACACAAAAATAACTGTATGGCTAGAAGAGACTATTCTGAAACTTCAGAAAGTCTCAGGTATTGCTCACCAACTATAAAAATTAACCCATTTAAAAAGAGGGTCTTTATCTCTGCTTTTTACTTTGCTTTATTTGCTTGAGTTGTAATTTCCCATTAATGATGGACTTGGTCAGAGTTTTGCCACAGAAGTAACTGGCTAAAGATCTGGGGTTTGCAGTGTTACCATAGGTCTACAGTCTTAAATTGGGATTATGTACCATTTGGATAAAAAACAAGCTCATACTAACAACGGGGTGGAAACCTAACAGCAGTAAAGCCACTCCCACTCGCAGTCCAACCTGCAGGTACCCCTCAGATCTCCAGCTATGTCAAAACATTACCTGCTTTAGCAGCAGTAGCAGGTGGCGTGAACTGCTGCATGGGCTCAGACGGCACAGTATTAGTGGGAAGTAACATGATCCCACCTTCAGTGACATTCTCTGGGGACACTGTGGGAGTCTGGGTTTTCTCTGACACACCGGGGAAGAAATCCAATTTATTTGAAGAAGAGGAAGGTGTAGCAGCCTGAAAAAATGAATTATAAGGAAAGAGTTGTCATAAGTGAGACATTTTTCACATTTCTAGATTTAGAAGTATGCTGTTTTTCAATAGCATATAGGATGACCCTAGTGACTTATGTTACTAGGAGATTTTATTCATGTACAAAATATTTATGGAATGAGGACTGGTTTTTTTGTTTGTTTTTTTTCCCCAATCAATCTTTTAAGAAATGCTAATAATTTTCCAACTTTCAAATGCTGAACAGCGTAGGCTATAGTAATGAGGTAACCTGAAATACAACTAAGGCTATCAGTTCTCAAAATAAAATAAAAAAAAAATAGTAGGACAGGTCTAAATACAGTCATAAACCTTTAAAAGTCAATGACAGAAAGTCCAAGTGGTATTATTGTCTTCATGCTGTACACACACAAACATAACAGAATCCTTGCCTCTTACTACATCTGCTCAGAACAAACTTGCTCAGCCTTTTTATCTCCTCACCAGTAATAAAACACCCTACATCTCTCCCCTTCAGTCACCAAGCAGTAGTGCTGTTCTCACTGCTCCACCTTGTTAGGAAATCAGAACTGCAGCAAACAATACAGCAAGTTTGGCACAAATAACTCAGCACTGTGTGAGCCTTGCCTCCCAATGACACATAAGTCTCAATGGGGCAACAGTTTTTCCTTAATATACTCGAGACTTATTTCTGATCTCACAACTAGGGAAAAGCATTTTTCCAATTATGGCTGTGTGGGGCACATGAAGACATAACATAGTGCTATTATTTGTACATAATCTATTTACTGAAGAATAGGATTGTGAAGGTTGGTAAAATGTACACTTGTATCACAAACAGCTGAGGCGGAAAGGGACCTCTAGACAGCCTAGTTCAACCCCCTTCCTTAAAGCAGGGTTAGCTACAGCAGGCTGCTCAGGACCAAGTCCAGTTAGGTTATGAGTATCTCCAAGCACAGAGAATACACAACCTCTTTGAAAAATCTGTTCCTGTGTTTGACCATCCTCACAGGAAAAAAGATGGGTTTTAATGTTTAAACGTAATTCCTTTGTATTTCAATTTGTGTCCATTATCTCCACTGGACAGTGCTGAGAAGAGCCTAGCTCCATCTGCTTCACACCTGTCACAGTTATTTATACACATTTGTAAGGTGCCCCTGAACCCTCTCAGTTCAAGGCTGAACTGTCACAGGACTCCATTTCTCTTTGTATTTCAGGTGCTCTGCTTTCACTCTGCAGTTTGCCTCCCCAGGAAATAAGAGCAGTTCGGTCTTGTGGACAGGAGGAAAAGCTCCCTGTTCAGCTAGGAATATGAAAACAATGCCAGGGACTGCTGTTTCCCAACCTGTGAGGAAATAGAGAACATGGAAGTCATCTGCAACTCCATCTCTGCCTTGAACAATGGACAGAGAGAAAAGATCCCTGTGCAGCTGGGAGAGTGAAAGTAGCGTCAGCAACTGTGGCTGACTACCGTGTGAGGATGCTGAGGACCACATCAAGAGTTGCACCTTCAGGTGAATCCATAATGCAGACAATGGAAGCACCTCTCTGGTCACACCTTCAGCCCTGCTCGATATGCAGACAATAAGATCTCTGAGCAGGTGGGACACTGACAGCAGCATCAGGGACTGTAGTTCCCCTGAAGTAGTGCCTTCAGCAGACCAACCCCAGACCCTCAGCAGGAATCTCACCCTTGACAACATTATCATGCACAGTGAGAGCCTCAAGCACATCCTGCCTCCTATCTTGACAAAAGGTCTTCCCTCCAGACAGCTCTCCTTTACATAATCACTTCATTCCACATCTTCCAGAAAGATCTTTACCCCACCTGAGCAAACCAAAGTGTTTCCTTGCCTTTCAAATTTGAGGGAAATCTACTTTTCTGAGCTTCCTCTGGCTTTTTTCCTCTCCTGAACCTTTGGCAATCCATCAGCTGAAAAGCAGCCATCTTGGCTTTATAGGACAGATGGAGACAAAGTCAAACATACTTTTCCAGGGACACTCTATTCTGCAGTGGCACCAAACATCACTTCAGTCAGCAAACCTAGGCAAGCTGCTGCAGTCAGAAAAGGTGCCCTGTGGCACCGTCACATCTGAAGCGGCGTCACAGCCAAAAAGACGGCTTAAACTAAAAACATTAGCAGGCAGCAGACAACTGGGGCAGGGACAATATCAGAAATTGAGTTCTCAGGCAGAACCCATTACTGAGAAATTTGCTGGAGCAGATGCAGAAGGCAAGATTAACCTAAATTCCAGCTTGGGAAGTGAAAGAAAGAAAAGAAGGATTCTTTCTGGGAGTGAGCAGGGTAGATAGTTCTGTTGATATGGGTTTTGTGGGTTGTTTGCTTTTACCCATTTGTACAGCCACTACTGCTTGCAACAAACACACCAATGGTGAGGGCCCACATCCTTCAGTTCTCAGGTTTGACTTGAGTGCACATCTCTTGAGAATTCCAACAGAAGTTGAGAACATCCAACAGAAGTCGAGAAGTTGGGAAAAACAACAACGACGACAACAACAAGCGCCATGCAGTTTCCTGGGGAAGCTCAAAGTTACACTGCAGGCAACAGTATCATGCCAAGAGGGATCCTTTCCCACTTCTGGTCCCTGGCTGACCCCATAGATTGAGTACTCTTTCTCCCTCCCCTCCCCCATCCCATGAATGTGAAGGATAAACCCTACCATGTTTCCTTACTCCATCCTGATCCTGGAGGCAACCCAACATTCCCCCTCAAGGAAACATCTTCCTCAAGTACTCCTAAAGACAAGTGATCAGGACTCTGGAGAGTCAAGGGCTGCTAGTGTTGCACTTCATATGACTGCTTCCCCAGCAGCGATTCCTCCATGTCCCTCTGCACATAAGACTACCACTTAACTGCAGTACCATTTTCTCTTCCTCATTTATCTGCAAAACTTTGTGGAAAGTAGCTCTGTCAGCAGTGAAACTTTGCTGGTCTGCTTGTCCCTGCTTCTCTGCGTTCAGTCACCTGTCTAATGATTTCAAGCAAGTAAGATCCCTACTAATTGTGTAGTTGGGGTGCTGCAAAAAGAGCAAACCACCATACAGTATGACAGGAAGTGCAGATTTCGAGAAAGAAATTTACCTTTTTGGCAGGTAAATCTAAATATTTAAACATCTTTCAGAGGTTTTATACATATCCTAGAGATCAAATCAATGATTTTTAACCAAACAGAACCAAAATAATATATGAACATCTCTGATATTCAACTTCATTCTAGGTCTTAAATATCAATTCTGAAGGCAAGCCAATCAGACATTAAAAGGTTCACCATCATATAAAGTCTGTCAGCCATCTTAAGGTTTCTTAGGTAGAACTTTATGCATTTTGACTGCACCATTATTCCTGCAAATACAATAAGCTCAAGAAGCAAGTCAGGCCTAACCTACTGAACATTTGAAACGCTGCAGCATCAACACAGCAGCTGCTAGAAATTAAGACCTGACAAACCTTACAGACCTTAGCAGATCAGCAGCTAACTGGAAATTTTAAAAAGACAATTAATACTTTACACTTCAGGGATGGGCAGCACTGCAGATTTCTGTTCTGGGCAGCTTGGCAGCATATACTCTGTACAGATTTCTAAATGTATTCATGTTATTGAGCTGCTAGACAGTGACAGTCCATAAGATCACTCTGAAGTCCGATGTAAACCCAACAGTCAGGTTATTCAGTTAAATGACAAAAATTCTCTATCCAAGTCACATACAGAAATCCTTTGCACCTGACTGCATTTATGGCAAGGATGGTCCAAGGGCACAGACTCTGGAGGTCTGTGCTTGTTGGTCTCTCAGTTTAAAATCTGTCTACAGGTCCTCGCTCAAAGAACACAGCACCTGAGGACACTGCATCCTGCTGACTGCTGTGGAGGGAGGGAATTGCATTTTTGCCACGCTGCTCTGTCTGGCTTGTCAAAACAGCTTTGTCTGGAAGCTGCAGAAGGGAGTGTGTCAGCACAGATCTAGGAGATATAGAATTGCAGTGGCAGAATTAAGAGGATCATAGGAATACATTGTATAACATGTAATAAATAGGGCAATATGAGATTTGATAAAAATGTCTGCTTGCTGGAGAAAGAAACATGTAAGAGGGAAATCCTATCACCAGAATTTGTCACAGGCCTTTTTCACCAGGGTCACAAGTAAAGTTCCCAAACCAGAAAAACCTGAAGCCAAAACCTGGAAATTTGTGTTAGCCATACCGGCGGGGTTTGGGTGGCAGAGGACCAGCTGCATGGGTCACCCCTGTGGTTCCAGACAGTTTGGAAATGGATGGAAGCAAACCACCATGCATCAACACTGCAGCCACTCACACATAGTTAAAAAAGGGCCACTGGGGGCAGGGGATAGAGGAGAAGGTGGGGAGATGCACAACAGGAGACATGAGAGGGAACATCTGGAAATGAACACTATTGAGCACAGGGCTTGAGACAGCCTCTTGGAAACAGGCACTTCATGGCACCTCCCAGAGAAGTGAGGCACACAGAGAAGCCCATACCAGACAGATGAAACAAGTAAGAAGGAAGGAACAGCAACAGAAAAGAGAAATAGACAACAAGTGGCAAAAAGGAAACTGCCATGCACTGACTCCACTCTCCCATGCCACCTGTCATCTCACCAAAGGGACTGAATATAAACTGCAGTGAAAAGAAGGGGAGTGGAGACTAGGAAGGGAAGAAAACATGCCCGAAGTTGATTCTGGGGAAGGCCAGGGAAAGGCCTGCTCATCATCTTTTCTCTACAAATGTCTAAATTCAAACGATTCCCACTTGGGAAACAAAGGCTGCACCTTTGCACCTTCTGCTTCTCCAGATTCTTTCTTTACACTAATAGAGCATCTTTAGAGTAATTTCTCCATACATGTCATGACCAGTTTTTAATGCTATCCCATCAACCATCTTCTGCAGCTCTGCTCACAGAGCACTTCCTGATCATCTAACTACAGTTGTCTTACTGGCTCCTCAGCATCACTACCAGTTGGGGATAAAGACTGACCTAGGTTTGGAGTTTTATCCCTTCTGCACTGAAAGAAGTAAGCTCATTCCTCAGCCTTTCTACTGGAATTTCAGTGGCTGTGCTAGCATAATGTTAGCTTAATATAAAGATCACACAAGAATGACTTCTTTGTGTCCCAATAAGAAATAGGGTTTTTTCCATTTCACTTTACAATAAACATCCATCTACATAGTCAGTGCACAAAGAGAAAGAAAAATCTTTCTATTCTGGCTGGGGTAGCAAAATCAAAGTAGAGATTTACAAAGTAGGCTTGACCATATATATTATTACTGCTGCAGGATATGAAATCTCAACTTTCATAAAACAGTAATCACATGATCCCTTAGAGACAGGGAACAAACTTGCTCAGCTCTGCCACATAGTTTAGGTGAATTCAAAGTTTCATGGCTTCTGTAAGGCAGAAGGCACAGTCAGTATAGATCCTGACAAGTGTCTCAAGTTTAGCACAGTGCTAATGGTCTTCCATTTGACAGCAAAATGCAATGGAGGCAAGTTTCAAGTGTTACTGCATGCCCAAAGTGCACAAACATGGTGGTGCACGGAGCTATACCACAGGTTCTTGCTGTGGCTTAATTTCCAGCACATAGCACAGGCAATAACTGAAAAATGCTTGTAAACTATAGTACAGCAGTGGTGGGATGTCCTAAATTTTAACTTTGTAAAAGCAGCTCAGCTATTGCCCTTTGTTAGAACGAACTGCAACACTAGTGCATGACAGAATGTCACTCCAAACTTTCAGTAGGGACAGCATACTTTGGTATTACACTCTTCACATATACACATATGCATGCTAAGAAAAAAACTATTAGGCTCTACCTCTCTCTTCAAAACCCCCATGTTAATTATGCTCATTTCAAGGTATGCATGGTAGAAACTTTTTAAAACAAATCTCCCATCATCAACTCTGCTTGTAGAATGAGTACCCACTTTTCAACTTGCAATAGAACTTGATCTGCTATCAAAAGTTCTTCTATACACATGAAGATGAGTTCTAATCTCTTTTCACTCATGCCAATACACTTCAGACGAACTTAGACAATCATAAAAGTCACAGGCTATCTTGAGCCTAGAGGAAGTGATCCTCAAAAAGCAACCTGCTCTCATGGACAATCTCCCTTGGGAGTCTTCCAAACAGATCCCACAACAGGCCAAAGACTGCTCTACTAAAGCCCATGGTTGTGACCCTGCTTTCTAACTTATTCCTGCTACTCTTAAGAGCCTCCACCTCACAGCCATATCCCTAACAAATCCCTCCTTGCCTGCAAGGGTGAGGTCCAGCAGAGTCTCTCTCCTCAGTTCCTCAATGACCTCTGATAACTTCTTGAAGTTATCATCAACATCCTCCAGAAACCTCCTTCATTGCTTGTGCCCTGCTCTCTTGCCCTCCCAGTAGGTATTTGGATGGCTTAAATCCTCCCTGAGGACCAGGGCTGTTAATATGAGGCTCCTCCCAGTTGCCTTAAGTCTTTATCTTCTTCTTCCTGACCAGGCGGTCTGGGGCAGACATGCACCCTCATGTTGCCCACAGCAGTTGGCCTGACCCATATAAACTCCTGACTAGTTCATTGCCACCTCTAGGCAGAGGTCTTGGAGAGAGGTCCTCTCCCGAGCACATGCTGGAGGGGTGCATCACCCCTCTGTGATCGTGAGCAGACTGGGGCAAAAACCCAAGGCACCCTTTGATCAAGAACAGCGGACAGAGCTTGTGAGAAGCTGCTAGAGGCTCCAGCCTCTGCTAGCTTTCCCCTCCCAGCTACAACAACCACCCATTTTCCTCATAACACTCCCAGATAACCCCCAAAACCAGTTCTTAAAACATCTAGAAGATCTCAAAGCAGAGCCTAGAAACTGCCACACCCTTAGGCTGCAATGGTATCCAAGTTAGACAGTATATATAGACTTGCTGTTCTCCTCACATACTTTTGCCATTTCAGTCATTCCGTCCAAGAATCTCAGTTGTCACAGATTTCATGCAACTTTCTTATTAACTTGTATTTTTCTTCCCTACAGTAATGTCAATAAATTACAATTTTTACAGCAAGTGACAAGTAGGTGCTGGTTACAAAATCTGGTGGAATTTAGAGCAAGTCAGCTAATACTGCTTAATTTCCTCTTTCTGGCAGGAGTGTCAAACCCAGGGAATGTTGAATTTATAGCCTGTTTCAACTTTTCAACTGATCTTAAGAAACCAGGGCCCCTTTAGACTCAACTGATCAAACTGGTTGGCATAAATAGAGAACAGGTCCATCTTACTTAAGTATATAGATTAGATTTTAAGTATGTAATTTACTTTTCTTATTGTCACATATAAGTTCTTATTGAACTTATGTTTACTGGTCTTGGCCTTTGAATACTAGAGGATCCACTAGTATTGCTCTGCTAACTTCCAATGAGTCACCATGGGTCAGAAGTGAAGACAACTGTAACACTATTACATCAGGTTCCAAGTTCACTCATTTGTACACTTCCAAGGAAACCTCACAGTGCCCCAAAAGGAGCTCTGCTCCTTATCATCTGATTTAAAAAAAAAAATCCTTTGGTGATTTATCTGCCTATTAAGACAATCCTCTTCCCTTCAGCCTTTTCTACACTGTAACAGGACTGTTAAGTCATTTGAGTATTGTAATATTACAAAGCAATTATCTCAGATTTTCAAAGATTTGAAAAACAAAACAGTTGCCAAGTAGCCTCACTATACTCTGCCTGCTGAGGGGCAAACATACCTCTTTTTGCAAAGCATCATCAGGTTGTGCAAGAAGTTGAACAGCTGCTTCCCTTTCAAATGTCTTCCCAGGGAATGGTGTAATCTCCAGGAGGGATGACAACCTGTCTGTGGAGTGTTCAGCGACAGAGTTCAATTCAGAGACGTTTTTATTTGAAAGGCTTTCCACCTTCACAGCCTCCCCTTTCTTTTCAGCAAAGTCTTCCTGGTTATCTCCGTCATCACTTGTGGAAGCATTGAAGCCATTTTCACCTGCCATCATCAGGCCCCAGTCAGCATAATCTGTGCTCTCCTTCTGCTCATGTTTGATGCCCATCTGAAATGGGTCCTCCTCCAACTCTTTATAATCATCAATGTATTCAGGTATCTCCTCAAGGCTGGGATCTTTGCCAAGCAGAGACAGCTTCTTCAGGCTACTCACTTCCTCAGATGGCTCATTCTGGTGTCCCAGAGAGTGGACCATGCTTGGGATCACTTGCCCAAATCCTAGCAGCGAGGCTCGCCTCTGAGAAGGCCTCAGCACAAAAGTAAGATAGGACTTCACAGTTTCAATTTTTTTAGGTTTACAATTCTCTTCCTGTTGGCAGTTCACGATGTAACAACGTTGTTCAAACATCCAGGACAAGTCACAACCAGAGAGGTCACAACAAGCTGCGATGCAGTCGGACACTGACATGGCATGAGGAACTCGCATAATTTTAGTGGTTTCTAAGTTGGGAGATATTACTGCACCTGAGTACGTGGCTCCTTCTCTGCACTGCTCACAACTGGAACCTGAAACAACACCACGAACATAAGGCACAGCACTACAACCAAGCCACAATATAGTTTACTGTGACTATAAATGGCTTATCACAGAAAACAAGATAAAGACAGGTGGTACTTTGGTTAAAAAAGCTCATTTTCTTTCACTAACATCACCGCTCCCTTTTTTTCATCATATCCCTTTGCAGTAGTATTTGTACTTTGGAGGATTTTTCAGCATAGGATCTTGATATGTTTTGCAAATGTACCTTTTACTCCTGTGTTACAAATACAAATACATAGAGAGGAAAATGAGTTGCCAACACTAAAAACAAGAACAAAGCAGGGAACACACAGAAAAAAAATAAATCACGGAATACCTTCATTACCCCTACAGCATAGTAAGCAAAATACATTTTAAAAAAAAACTTAAATAAGATGCTGTAGAATGTCATTGTTTCATTTGAGGTAGAAGGCAGCAAAAATCTACACAGGAGAAAGATTTGTCATCTCATCTGAACTTCATGAAGAGTTCCTCACTCCAACATAATTGCTGGGCTTCATACAAAAGCTGGATAAATTCTCAAACTTTTGCTGCTTTACCCAACAGTTCACGTGAAATCCCAACAGCTTGCTTCAGTATGGAGCACCTTTCCTTCGTTCGTAGTGAAGTTGAAACCTTTTAGAATGACATCAGAATTAATTTCATAGCACATCACAGACTGAGTGCGAAGTGTTCAAAACAAGTACGAATCGACATCCTGCATATCTTAGTCAATTTTTAACATCTTGTCTAGGTGGATTTTTTTCCCCTGGTTATAATTGCTCTTCAGAACTCCTGTCTCTAAAATGCAACTTGAAAAATCTGATCATGCTTCAAGAAACAGTTGAGCAAAACCAGGACATTCTTCTTCTCGTTTTCAACTAGACTTGCTAACTCAACAAATTAAAACAAACATATCACCATTGTGGAGCTAACAGTAACGAAAGACAAAGTTGACTCTGTCTGCTTTGTATTTCTGTTAATGTCATTAACAGTTGAGTTCTGGCAACAGAAACCTCATTATTCACAATAGTATAGGGCAGTAGAAAAAGAAAAAGGCAGCTTGACTAATGAGCTGAGGGGTAGGAAAATGAAATCAAGGAGTAGGAGTAGGCTGGCCATAGGGGGTAGGTCTCCATGAGCCTTGGAGATGCAGGGATTCTCCTACACATGTGCTGTGTCCAGCACCACACTACAGTTCCCACCACATCTTCTGGGCTAAACTGGAGCACCGTCCTTCACAAGTCGTTAACACAGCTACTGAAATACCTGTGAGGCATCACGTTGCCTGGGATGAATGTAAGCTTGCAAAGTAAGTTAAGTTCAGCGCAAAAAAATAACAAAACCAAAAAAACCAACAACCAAAAAAATTGTATTGCATACTGAGGGATAGAGTGGACAAAACATTATGTTGGTTTGCAGAGCTGGCTGTGGAGAGTGAGGAAAAACATGAAACAAAACCAAATTTTAAAAAAGATTGATGACTTGCAAATAGATATAGTTGAATAAGAAGATGACAAAAAGGATAAAGAGCTTCAAGTACCATTTTTTGACTCTAGCTGCTCCTTCACACAGAACTGGGATGCTGTCTCCTCTTCCACTTTACACTTCCAGTGAAAAAGTCTATCCAGGGCAACATGCACTTGAAACCTATCCTGCTCTAACAGCCTAGATATGTAGTACCTTTATGTGTACCCGGGTGATGCTCAAGATTTGTGCAGTTTTTTCTTTCACATTGCATATAAACTTTTTCTCTACATTCCCTCTTACCTCCAAGAATGTAAGACCCTGGCAGAGAATCTGAATTGTCATCACAAGTCTTTCCTTTAAGTTGTCTGCACAACAAGGGAGCCAGAAGAGCTCTGGATTAAAATGGAGTATAGGAGTCAGGCAGCCCATTCAACCATTCTGTCCTTTTGCAACCATATCAATTTAGTTAATCCTGTAAGTCAGTGGAGGGGTGAGAAACAGGCCTTTAAAAGGGTAAAACAGGAACGTAATTCTGTGCAAATGTGCAATATTGAGTCAGTAACAATCAATACTTCAGGAACAGGACTATTAATATGGGCCAGAAAAACTCCTTTGAGGACTGTTTTCATCCCCTCCCCTTCTCTATTTCATCCCTGAAGGAGAAAATGACCAACCTGTTCAAACAAATTTGAAAGTTCATTATTTATTTGTTCAGAAAAGAATGACCAACAATTCTTGTCTTAGAGACAGGCTTATGCAAGTGGGATACTCCACAGCTCTAACCTCAGGACACACTTCAAGTCCTCAATGAGGTTCAAATCTCTCTGCCACTTTCAGTTTGATACATTAGTTACCACACTGCAGAGTCGACCTCCCTCAAAATTAATGGTGCTCCATTAGCCATTGTGAGAAACAAGGTCAGTACATTCCTAAAATAATTAAACACTTGGAACCTAAATCTCACAAGCAAGCAACCTAATCACAGGTCTTAGCTACCTGCTTTTTCAAATGTCAGAAGGCCTTGGTTTCATCCCAATAAAGAATGGAAAAAACATTAAACTTCTGAATTTCTGTACAGTGAGAAAATTATTTCCCTGACAACTCTAAATTAAATCTAACAGTGCAATCCAAATCTCAAAGTAATGAAAGTTTCATCTCTTGCTTCAGCTAGTCTTATACCTGAGCTGGAATGTAGCAACAGGTACGCAAGAAAGGATGAATTTAGCAGGCTATTTCAACCTCACACTAGGTGTGTGTACATTAGTTGTCTTCACATGGAAAATACATCTACTTAGAGTGAGCTTAATCTGATCTCTAATTTCATATTCCCCTTCATCCCATCCAATCTCCAGTCTGCAATGGGCTCAAATAGGGGTAGGGAAGTCTCCTTTTACATAAAAATTACTGAAAGTGTGCCACGTGAAAGGTCACATAGTAAAATTTGTGTCTGCTACACTATTACCTGCTGTGAGAGGTCATAGAACAGCTATTTTCCTTGTTAACTGAACTCAAGACATTAAAACACTGTTCTACTCTGACCACTAAGAGCAAAAAAACTAGCATCACGCAATACTGTTTGCCTCTGAAGTACTCATTCAAGTTACCAATAGAAAGACTGCTTCCCTTTATTACAAGCCCTGAAAACCCTCTGGAGCATGAGCCAAAAGCCTAGAAGTTCTGAAAGTGTTCTCCTTCCTTTTAGCTGTACCGTTATGTCTGCAGTAGGACAACACCGACATATCCAAAGACCTAGTCAGGCAAGTCAATTACCCTTAAAAAGCCAACCCATACCCCCCACTAAAACCCTGTTAAACAGTCACACGGTGGAATAGAGTTTCACTCTACAGAGATTCCTTCCTTTAATGACGGAACGTCCACACCCTTCGAGCTGCATGCTACCACTCCTTCACACCTTGGTGTATGAGTCTGTTGATGTCAAGAGCCCAACAGGAACACCGCTGTTCCTCTGTCACAGCTGGCTGGAGACCTTTCCTCAAGTGGACATGGAAACTAACTGCCAAACCTAACAGATGCTCTCCCCCATGCTCACACAACCATGAGCACTTGAATGATTTGGTAGCAAATATTCTTTAGTCAGTAAGTAGCAAATTGTGACACTGTACTAACACCAGGTTCATCACGGCTAATCACCCCAGTATTGAAACCCTGCAAAGACAGAACTGCTCTATTTGTTTTCCCCAGCAGCAAGCAGTCCAACAAGAAGCAGAAAGAAGGGGCAAGAGGGAACGTGCAATAGAGAAGAGCTCAGATTCAGACTTTGCACCAAGAAAAGTGACATTTGATCAGAATCACTTCCCATTACCTTCTTGCTGGCAGCACAGCACTGAGAGGGAGGTCATAAATCTTACAGCTGGACTGCATGGAGTTAGAAGCAGGAGACTAAAGTGCACAACACCTGCGAGTGAAATTACCTGCCAATCCCTCTTCGAATTTTTGTTGGAGTGGATAATCTCAGAACAAAGCACACAATGTGCACACATAAAGTATGAGAAAACTGAGAGTCAGACATAAGAACTCTTATATTTGCAGAAATGCATTTCAATAGCAGTATTTGCAAGGTCTGCCTCAAATACCAAATTAGAACATGCCTGCTCAAGATGAGAGCTAGACTGAATTGATTCCGAGGTATTGGATTCCCAGTTGCAAAGTAAACTGTTGGTTCTGTGCTGGAAAGCAATGTCTTCTATAGCAATGTCTTCTATCTCTCATAAGGAAAAAAAGTTCTTTTCTTTTATACATTAGCATAAAAATAATAATTAATGGTCAGAATAATTTAAATGTATTTCAATATAAGCTGATTTCACAAATGAATGGATACAAGACAGTGAAATGAGATTATAAGCATTATAAGGAATGTCTATATGGCTAAATTAGGAGCTGCATCCACAGGTTTTGGAAGCAAATCTTCCAAAATGCATAAGATGGTAAGTGACAGAGGCATGATACACACTAATACCTATCGCCACATCCAGCTCAAGCATCCCAAGAGGCACAAACATTAGTCAGTGATGGATATCTGCATCCATTAGGTGATCTGCCTACCGTTCTAGCTTTGTTTTTCATTGTTTTATGTGCAAGGTTTTGGGAGTTGGGGGGGGAAAACAGACTGCAGGGATGGCTTCTGCGAGAAGACACCAGAAGCTGCCCCATGTCAGGACAGAGCCAGTTACAAAACAGACCCACAACTGGCCAAGGCTGACCCATTTAGGGATGGTGACAGCTTCTCTGTGATAATGTATTTAGTAAGGGATAAAAAACCTGGCACAACAGCAGCAGGCAGGAGAGAAGAGCAAGAAAACATGAGAAAAACCATCCTGTATACACAAAGGTCAGTGAAGAAGGGGGAGGAGGTGCTCCAGGTACCAGTGCAGGGATTCTCCTGCGGCCTGCGGTGAAGACCAAGCACGTTGTCCTCCTGCAGTCCATGGACATCCACAATGAAGCAGATATCTACCCTTCAGCCTGTGAAGGACTCCACCTCAGAGCAGGTGGATAAGCTCTGAAGGAAGTTGTGAACCCACAGAGAATCCAGACTGGAATAGGATCCTGGCCTGAACTGCAACCCCATGAAGAGGAGCCCACACAGAAACACATTTTCCAGCAGGATCTGTGGCCCCAAAGGGGATCCACACTGGAGCAACCTGTTCCCAAAGGATTTTCCTGTGGAAAGGACCCATGCTGAGCACTTCTTCAAGAATTTGAGCCCATGGGAAAGACTGTATGCTGGAGCAGGGAAAGAGCATGAGGAGAAAGGAGTGAAAGAGATGAAGCACTATGAACAGACTGCAACCCTCATTCCTCATGCCCTGAGCCTCTAAGGGGAAGAAGACAGAAGAACTGAAAGTGAAGTTGAGTCCAGGAAGAAGGAAGAGGTGAGGGGAAGGTGTCTTTACATTAGTTCTTTGTCTCAGTTTAAGGAGACTGAAGTGTTTTGTTAAGGAGGATGAGTTATGAGGTAGACCAAACTCCTCTCTCTCAGCAATTGTAAATCCGAAATTAAGAGGCTCCAATCGAAGAAGTATGGAAAAGGAAGAAATAACAACCCTTTATTAAAGAATATATGTATATTGGCAAAACCAGCAAAAGAACACAAAAACAACTAAACAATAATCCTGTACCCAAAAGTCCCCTTCAAAAAGGAAACAGTTCAGTACTTTCTGCCTTTTGGTGCAATTCCAACCATGGTCAGCAGTGGGCGCTGTTGGATCACTGGAGGAGCAGAGCCTGCAGTGCTCTGTGTTGGTCAGCAGAGGGCGCTGTTGGGCTCTGGCAGTCGCTGTTTCAGGCCCTGGTGCATGGGAGAAGCCGACAATGGAGACTTCCCCCCCCCCATGAGGAGGTGAAGGGGAAAAAAGGGGAAAAGGAGGGCGAGTTCTCTCCCACGAAATTCACGATGTCTGCAGCTGGCTGTGGTCGGGACTCCCCCCTTTCCTTGCCGAGCACAAACTCTCCGATAAAATCTGAGCAGGTCCGGCTGGCGACAGAGCAGACCGCAGGCAAGCCGAGGCCGGAGAACAGCCAGATGACCAGGTTGAGAGCAAAAACGGCCTCAGAGCTTTTCCAGCACACACCTTGCCCCCGTTAGGGCAAAACATGAAGTGTCTCCCATTTGCAAGGAGAGGAGAAGAAAAACTCCTTCCCCCTCCCTGCAGTTTTGGAAGGGCCATCAACCTGGAATGCAGGTCTGCCAGCTAGTTCTTTTGTACAGTCAATTACCCCTTCCCCCTCCTCATTCAACCTCCTACTCTTACAGTGGGACAGGGGAAAGGAAAATTTCTGCTTGGATTTTTAGAACAAGTAAACCTATGATATTCTTATTTCTCATTATCCTACTCTGATTAATCAACAATAAATTAAACTACTTCCCTATGTCGTCTTATTTGCTATTGACTGTAAGTAGTACAGGACCTCTCTGTCCTGATCTCCATCCATGAGTTTTTAGTCATATTTTTCTCTCCCATCTTGCTGAGAAGGGGAAATGATAAAGTGATTTGCCGAGCACCTGACAGCCAGCAAAGATCAACCTACCACATTCATGAAAAGCAGTCAAACACTATTAGTCAAAAGCTACCATGCACAGAATAAAACCAAATAAATGTCACCTAAACAAGACAGAGTAGCCCATCTATATTTCTTTTGACCAGAGCATATTCTTCAATATCCTTCCAGCAATATTCACCAGTGAGTCTGTTCCTCTATTCTCTCAGCAATGAAATGTCAAGCCTTCCTTTCCTATATAAAATCAGTCTTCTCATTATCTTAAATTAAAACATAAGATGACCTGGGTTTTTTTAAGAAAAAGTGGCGCTTAAAAGCACAAGTTCGTGTGCAGAAAAAAATTGCAGAATGAACATCCAGCAAATTCCTGAGCCTGAGTAAATTCACCTTAAAGCCTGCACTAAAAAGAAGTCCTTTTGACTTAAAAAAGCTGAGCATCTACTGATGTATTTTAGCAAACATATCCTGGAAATCAGCAAGAACCTTCCAGTTTAATTAGAGTAAATATTAACTGGATTAAAAAATACTGCAAATTATCAAGATGGAAATAAATTCTTACATTTTTATTGAAATAATATGAGATATTAGATTATATTATCCTCTGAACACTGTGCGCTGGTACCTAAGATACAAGGAGAGGCTTGAAATACAGCCAACAGTCTGAGAGCAATGGTCTTATTCTCAGATAAACCAAGAAAGCATAGCAAATTTGGAGCTAAAGACTGATAACTTTCTATATGCATGTGGAAGATATTCTAGTCTGCTAACAATTAACAGTATTAATTAAAGCATGAAACTGTGACATTCTCTACAGGTAAAATCCAATATTTACTGCACATTACTGTCTTCTGTTGAAGTTGCTGTGGGTTTTTTTCCAAAGATACTAGTATGGACCCTACAGCAGGTACTCAGTATCTCATAGGAGAGCATTTTATTTCTAAAAGGCATACTTGTTTACTGCAGCAACAAACACTTCAGCTCCATGTTCTTCTCAAAGAAATTGGCACTACAAGATCCTCAGGGTGATCTTGATGTCTACTTTGAACCAGATGTGAGCACAGCTATAGTTAATGCCTATCTCTCCTCAGCTGTAGGTTAATACCTACCCCCCTTCACCCAACTTTTCCAAATTCAGTAGTCAGTTTAAGCCTTAGCACAATAAGCAAGGCTCTCCCTCATGAAACAGCCCATCCTGTTTTTACTTCAAGAGACGAAAGTCAGATAACTGAGTGTTATTTTCTCAGTTCCTGCTAATATGGATGCTGCCAAAGCCAGAATTCAAACACTATCTTTTAAGAAAATAAACCCCACTTCTGCAAATACTTTTCTGCACTTGCCATATCAAAACTGCCTGCCCCAGATTAAGTCTCTCTATGATACAGTGGCAGTATTAAGAATTATTATCATTCTGCATCTGTCTGATTGTGGAAATAATTTACCTATTCCTGTGGCTGAAGCAGAAATTTACAGGACTACCCTGTGGTCTTTGGAAGGAAATATATGTTTGTAGAGAGGATGATGAGGTGACTGATGTGAACAAACGCATTTATGCTTCTCATATATCAACCATCCTATGACACTTTGGAACAAAGAAGTAGCTTCGAATACAATCAATACATCATTCTTAAATTGCTGTCCTGAAGAGAAATAAAAGGAAAACGCTTTAAACTTTCCCACTACCCTTTCTTGTACCATGCATATCCCATGAAACAGCCTGCTGAAACTGGCTCCACACAGCTACTCGCAATTGCCTTCTTCCATTGCAGTCAACTGCCAGTTATGAAGCTGTACCTTCTCAAAGATTTTTGGATTGAGAAGTCACAAGATTCTCCAGTTCTTGCCTTATTTGTATTTCCTTCACAGCTGTATACACACTCCAGGAGCATATGCTTCTCTTCTCTGGGTGACTCAGACACACAAGAAGTAAACTCCTACCTGTTATTGCCCATAGGAGCAGGCAGAGAACACCAGGTCCGAATGCCATACTGCACCACGAAGGCAGTGACAACCACTTTTTCATTTGTGTCGAAATTCTAGGTCTTAACATCGGTTTCCTCTTATACTGTTTGGTTCCCTCCTGTGTCCATCAAGCACTGCAACAGACAGCCCAGGAAAAAATAGGTCAGATGTGAGCATTAATTAGAATGTCACAGTAACAGACAATAGACAGTTGACATGCAGGCTTTATCATTACTTCCTGACTTCTTGATGGATGACACAGTAGATCAGGCAAGCTGAAGATACAGAATGAATTACCTACTACCTACAGCGTGCCCGTAGCAAATGTGGATAGAGCCTTCCCAAATCTTCGTTCGTGAAGCCTAGCCATGACCTACCTGGAAATCTCTTTCTCTTTTCAGAAGATGTAGAAACTTCCCAGAAAGATTTGCGTGTTTGGGCTACTCTACCTCAAAACCCACACAAATTCTGTTTGCAGTTATCTATCCAGTCCCTGGTTTTCCTCTGACTTGAAACAGAGACTAGCATGTACCCTTAAATGAGGAATCACAGACAGTATTGTTTGTGCTAAAATCCATGCAGTGTTAAGGTAGCTCTTGAGGCAACCCTCAAGCTGTTCTCCCCCAGCTACCAAGGTAGGTAAATGAAAACAGACACTTCTCCAGAATTTCTAGGGAGACATTCCTTGCCATGACACTAAATTCTACAAACAAGGCAGACTAAGCAACAAATAGATGTAAGGAATGAATAGCTCAAAGCAACATTATTCATGCAAGAAAAAAAGTTAGTTTAGCCAAACTCACCACTTCTCCCCCCCCCACCGCCCCAAGGATCCTAGATGGATGCTTGACCAAAAAATATTTCTGTAAATGAAAACACAGGTAGTGATTTTTTCAGTGAACAGCCCTTCTTAAGGCAGAGTATCTTAGTCAACTCCCTTTGATGTTCATTATGTGACTTTCATCTTTCAACTGCCTGTATCTACATATGATGGAAATGCTGCTAACTGGATGCTCTTGGAAGGTTCCTTACCACACATAATTTTATATGATGAAAGATCATCTTGTTCTTTTTCCCTTGCAAAAGAAGTAAGTTACTTAGATGTGCTAAGGCTGACTGAACTAGACTAGAAACCCTAGCAGTTCAGCATTTGGACTTTTGCTCTTTGAGAAGGGACCTTTTCTAGATGGCATGTCTGTAAAGCACATGAGCATCTGGACCTTGGTCAGTCACAGAAGGTCAGTCACCTTCTGTGATTGACCGCAGCTTTTCCAAAGCAAGCCCTGTATTTATCTCAATACAAAGGGGACCAGAGGTTGGCAGTGTTTTAGAATGATAGGTGTTGTTCTATCAACAGCTGAGTGGATCCACTGATGTGTAAATGTTTCTCCCACTTATTCATTAAAGAGTGTGAATGTCTCCCAGAGCTAGCCAGACCAGCATGCACACAGCGAATAGGTGGCTCAACCCAATACAGAGCATAAAAACTGAACAACTAGCAAAAGAATTTTGAAGAGAGTAATGGGCTTGAGCTAGCTTCAACCCACATGTTCCTTCCCACTGTTGCAATGGTGAGCTTAATATAGAGACTAGTAATGGGAATCACATTAGTATTATGATAGAACTGTATACTGCCATTGCTGTGTTTTGCCAAGCATAAAGTACATTTGCATTGTGATTTCCATATGCTTTGTGTTGCTCCACAAAATCAGAAATCCTGTGTCACAACAAGTATCTCCAAATCAGTAAATCTGATATTAAACATTTCACCCTCTACACACGGAATATCTAAAAGGAACTGGTCAGAGCATACTGGACTCTGACAGCTTTTTCTCAAGCTTGTGGTACAAACACTAACTCTGCTCAAGTCAAGCAAAATGAGTACAGAACATCACTAAAACCATGAAAAAAAAAATTAGATTTAAAAATAAATCCCAAGTACAAAAAGATAAGGCTTTGGGCAAGCTCCCTGCAAAACCAGGAGAGACTATTACTAACTTTTCAAAAGCCTAACTTTTCTTGATTTAAAATATAACTCGATTTCTGGGACCTTTGTTCTATCGAACATCATCAAAAGTCCCCTTCCCAAGGCAGATGCCTTACTGCAGAGTATGTTGGTCTCCCAGTTTATTCCTATGCTGCACAATGAGAAAAATTATTTCTGATCACAAAAAATAACTGTCACCAAAAGAAAAAAAAAAAGAAACACATAACACTATACTGTTCCTTGTATGATAGTATTTTAATATATGCAATTAGATGTTCCCTCAGGAAGCAGTTCCTGATAGAATACACATAGCTGTGCTTCTCTGTAGCGATTTGAACTAATTTAGTAAGGTTTCACCTTAGAGAGAGCAAAAGGCTGTCTGGACACTTCCAGGTACTACTTCTATGATACAAAATCTTCAGCAGTGGGGACATATTTTGCTCTCTCATATTCCCCAATTGTTATTCTGTCCTTCCACCAACTATAAAGTTATCTGTTTCTGTAACAGAAAAAAAAAGACCACAAGTTTTTTCTTTTTTTTAAGCTAAGACATTCTAAATATCCCATTCTGAATGTGACCATTGAAATGGCTGAGCCCTTGGCAGTGTCCAGGAATAGTATCATCGGCAACTGAATAGAAATGAGCATTTATGCACAGGAGGGGAAGAGTCAGTCCTGAAGGCCCCACAACATGGGACCTCACCTTTTGACTTCACTGTAAAGGTGATACAAATGAAATTGTTTAATTTCGCACTGAAATGCACGATGGACAATCAATCTACAGAATGGCTGAGGTTGGAAGGGACTTCGTCTACCTTGTCACCTTGTCTACCCCCAGCTCAAATGGGGCAACCTGGAGCTGGCTCCCAAAAGACCATGTCCAGACAGAGCCAGTATCTCCAAGAATTGCCTTCTTTGCAGCAAGGGCACAGTGCTGGCTTATGGTCAACCTGGTGTCCATCAGGACCCCTAGGTCCCTTTCTACAAATGTATTTTACAGCTGGGATGTCCCCATGGAGTTGTTCTTCCTCATGTGCACTTCCACTTGCTAAACTTTATGAGGTTCCTGTCAGCCCATTTTTCCAGCCTGTCCATGTCCCTCTGGATGGCACCGTGACCATCTGGCCTATCAGGCACTCCTCCAAGTTTTGTGTCATCAGCAAACTTGCTGAGGATATACTCTGGACTACCATCCAGATAAGTAATGAAGATGTTAAACAGGACTGGACCCAGTACTGCCCCTTGGGTTACATCTCCAGTTACTGGCCTCCAACTGGGCTTTGTGCCACTGACCACCTCACTCTGAGTGGAGCCATTCAGCCAGTTTTCAATCCACCTCATGCTCTACTTATCCAGCCCCTAGTTAATAGATTCTCTACAAGAATATTACGGGAGACAAAGCCTTACTGAGGTCAAGACAGGCAATATCCACTGTTTTCCCCTTATCTACCAAGTCAGACTTCTACAATGACATCACTAAGAGGTTGGTCAAGCATGATTTTGCCTTGATGAATCTATCCCAGCTCTCGGTTATGCAGGCAGCGATCTCCAGCTGAAAAGAGATGATTTCTTAAGCCTTTCCAGCTGAAGCCACCAGCTTACACTTGCCCATGTACATTTATTCTAACACATTACTCAAAGTTATTGCTTCTATTTAGTGTTTTATTTCAGAACATTCAAACTAAACTAGAGAGATGTACAGAGTGGACGATTTTTATAAACTCCACCTTTCAACAGTTTTTGAAATGTTCCTGTTGCTTTTGAGAGAGAGAACAGAGGAGCAGAGATAAGCTATGTTCCTAATAAGTATTTCCAACTTATTACCACAAACCCCAAATACCTCATATATGAAGGGTAGAAAAATTATTATTACAGTAAGATCAGAATTTCACATACAGATTTTTTCCTGTTTCTATGGAAATCTGTCTAGACTTGGAAAAGTTGCTAGCCACCAAAACCTGTGATTTGCAGAAGAGCTTATCACTGCAGCTTAAGGTTTCTGAGATATTGTGCATTTGCTTCAACCTTCACTCATTCCCAGAAGCGGCCAAATGGATCAGATGCCTAAGAGAGACTTTTAGTCCTTTAGCCTAAGGAAAAATGCATCAGGCTCAGTATCAGAACATCACGAGGTCAGAATTAGCCCAGATCAGAGGAAGAAAAATAATTTGTTTATTTATAGGCCTTTTTCCTCTGCAAGGGCAACTTAACTATCTCACTAAGATGAGACTAATAGCAGCTTCTATTTCCTAGTGAACAGTTGACTGAGGAGTCCACATGATTACTTCTAGCAACACTAAGAAAAACGTTGAGAGGTTGTGCAAGTGATCCAGATTTTTTCAGCATTACTTGTCCAGAGTTCAGAAACACAAGTTCTTGTAGCAGATGGTTGTGGGTTTAGTTTCTTTTTTTTTAATTTAATTTACATTAAGAAAATACAACTTGCCAAAGCTACAAAATGCCAGATTTTGGACCGCATGTAGAATCTCCACTGAATCCTTATGGGACACACGATATGAGGATACAGTGAATGCAAAGAAGCAGCACTGTGTCCTCCCGCGCTTCTTTGTGGCTCCACATCTATTGATGTTTAATTTCCACATAATAAAAGAGTTTGCATTCACTGCAACGCTAGCTTGTGTTTCCTGATATTAGGATCAAGCTCAGACACAAAGTACACAAAGTCACAATTCAGTGCACAGCTTCTGACCCACAGATGAGAACAAAGCTACCAGACACCGCATGCCTTCTTGAACTGTTAAAACAATAAACACTGCTGCAGTGTATGCATCCAATGCTGCCCTTATCATCCTCATGACACTGTTCTGTTCCCCACAACTGCAAGTTTCATCACACAAACACAAAAGACATTAAATTTTAAAGAAGGTAGCAAGCCATGAGATTCCAGCAGTTAAAAATAACTCAGGCCGCAAGATTAATTTGCTAGCTGAATCTCTATCCTTCACTGATATCACAAAGCCTGTTATTTTTATAACACAAGCAGCCAGCATTGCTGGTAATTACTTTGGCATTTCTTGGCTCTTAGGAGTTCAAGTCTGACTTGAACTCTTAGCTAGAAGAGGGATGGCAGCCTTGAGAAGCAGGTATGGTAAAAATAGACACATATTATCCATATGCTGCCTTACTCTGAAAGCTATGTTCTTCTGGTCCAGCTGGCAGGCTTTGGTAGTGCTCTAGCCAAGAGAATAAGAGGGAATTCTGAACTGATCCCTCTATACAAACATTTCAACTTCACCATCTTTTAAACATATGCAGTTCCTGATCAGGACCACAACATCTTCTCGTAGATAACACAATGAAGAACAACAGCTTTCCAAGAAAAAGGAACTGCCAATATTTTCCCCCTCTTCTCCACCCTAAATCTCACTCTACATGTTGCTTCATCTTAGCTTTAATGCAGAATGAAGTAACTTTCTCCCTTAGAGACAGAAAGGAGTCAGCCAAGCAGAACTATATTGCCACTTCCTACACCTAATTAGGCCAGGGCTATAACCATAAGAATTTGTATGGACTGAATTACCTGTGTCTGGGAATACATTTGAATCCTACAGCTCTGAAACGGCAAATAGAGCATAAGGCAGTATGCTGGTGCCCTACAAAAGGTGTAGCAGAATGCCTGCACTCTTACAAAATCAGAGACAAGAACAAGTGGTGTCATGAAGGCAGTCAGAGAGCAATGCCAGGCAGCAGAAACCTCGAGGAGAGCGAGTGCCCTGAACGCTGGGCCCAGCCACACTGTCACTGGGGGTAAAGGCAGGCAGGGGCTTCTTGCCTTCTTGTCCTTCTGGTCATTAGCACAGCCAGGTAACACGCCAAAATAAATACGGAAACAGTATCTGAAACTCAACCCAGAGGTAAAACAAGCCCCACATATTTGAACTGACAGTATCTCTTATATAAAGCAGGCTGGCTGAGTAAATGAACACATGGTAATGTTCACTTAATGAAAGTGTCTCTATACATATATATATATGTATACACACATGCATATATGCCAACATTTCTATTAAACATAATACAAGACAATCCTTTGGGAAATCCACCTCTCATGAAGAATTTAAATTTCATCAGTTATTTCATCAGTTATTGTACCTGCACTAACACCCAAGACAGTTACTCAAGAGCTGAGCATTAACATTGTATAAATACTGCAGAAGAAAGAAAAATAAAACTTCAGGCCATTTTTCCCTAATAATACAGAGAATAATTCAGGACGTGTGCAGACACTAGGAGTTCTAACAACAACACATACTGTATGAACACACATCATCAAAACAGCCACAGGTTAGGCATCTAAATAAAGGAGATAATTTTCAAGCCCTTCAGCAGATGCGGAAGATATTGCAGAGTCATCAATGCTTGTGACCTGTGCAAAGTCACCTTCCTCTCACACTATTTTCTAACAATAGGTACCCATACTTGAAAAAAAAACACCATGACTACTGATGGAAAGTTATTGCAGCCTCAGGATACAGCAATAATTGCAAATGTCTCTCTGCTTTATTCAGAAGGGCTTCACAGGGAGCCCTTGGTGAAGGCGTACATTAGGCTGGCATTACATCCCAACTCTACATCAATTTCCTTGGTTAAGTCCAGGGCACGAACAACAAGTTAACCATGATAAAAAACCAAACTGAATAGCTGAAAATACCCTGCCATGTTAAGCTGGATAGGCTACCTGCTCCACTAACTCCACTGGTATTCACAGCTCTGTAAACTGCTAAGTGACACCAACTGGACAAATAAAGACAGAGTTGCAGTGCTTCACAGAAAGAGCAATTTTATTCTACAAGATTTAAGTAGCTTTTATTACAATTGCTGTGGAAAGAGCAAACAGTAGTGGAAATCCTAAAGGTGAGAGAGTTAGTAGGGGTATATGGTGTCAAGAGCTATTTACAAGGAAGGACAGAATATTTTAAACCCACCAATGAATGGTGGAACTACTCTGCTGAGAAATAAAAATACTATTATCAGACTCCGGATTTACATCGTATTATGGCATACAGTATTAAGTGTAAAAGGTCAGAATATTTCAGGATTGTTATTACTTAATTTGCAATACAAACATTTGTATAACCCTGAGGTCAGCCAGCCCAGCAAGAAGGGGGAACTAACCAAAAGCTAACTCTCAGGAAAAGTCAGTAGCACAGAATGAGATTGTCAGATACTTGAGAGCCCCGCACTCCCCACTAATCAAAATATGTCCCTTCAGAAGGCAGTGAAACTACTGAACAATTTCTCCAAACCATCATACTTTCGTCCCCATGTTTTCTATTTTCACAAGGACATAGCAGAGAGAACTGATAAGTGAGGCAATATTGAATATGTACTCCGTAATGAAAATTAAGTGAGACCTGGAAAGGAAGAGATTGAAGGAACAAGATGGTATCTTGACCCTTCCACAGCACAGAGGAAAGACAAAGCATCCTTACATCATCCTCTGGATTTTTATTTAGCCTGTCCTAAGCCTCCTATGAAGGGTATTTCAGAATTTCTCTATCTAGCTACTTCCACTATATAATTAAGTTTTTTTTCAACAGGAACACAGATCACAGAAGAAAATGCATAAAAGGTGGTTGAAATTTTTGTCAGCTTGCAGAACTCAAAGTTTCTACTGCCCAACAGCTGACTGAAGGCCTGTGACAAAGTCTTGTGGTCTCAGTCGACTGCCTAGTTCAAGTGCCATTTGACAGAATGCTATTACACACAGCACGCTGCACCTCACTGTGAGCTCCAACTAGATACCGAGGCATCCTTATGCAGCAGAGGTACAATTTGCAGGTGTAGGTTGATGCTTCTGGAGAAGCTTGAGTAAATTATAAGGAGAGCTGGAAGAAAGATAATCACATAGTTTAATCTGGATCATATAAGCGCACAGAACAGAAAAATGTATTTATTTTGCACTTGTTCAAGGTCAAAAATGACTACACTGAAACTACACAAAAAAACCCACTTGACCGTAATGCTGGGCTGAAACTAACGGCATTTTTTTCCACTTAGAATATAAGTCCTCAAATTAAAAGGAAGTATTAATTGATTCAAACCATCATTTTGAACTGCAGTTCTTGTGATTCTGACAATTTTTCCTTAAGTGCCATTCCCTGAACTACAGTAATTATTGAAAAAGTATCAATTTTCAGTAGAAAAAAATAAATCTCTCTCTACTGCAGGGAAAGCCACACCATTTAAAACCACAAGATCCACAGTTTTTCATAGATTGGTCAAGACTTCAAATACTGACAAACTCTTGACCCCGTTTAAGTCACTGTTAGGATTTAAAAGATTTCATCTAGGATAACTGAACTGTTGCAATTGTTAATACTGCTATTTAATATCTAACGCTTAAAAAAAAATAAATTAAAATTGACTCTTCTTGAGTGATCTCTACCTAAGCATCAAAGCTAATATTTGCAGACTGGAGATCCAAGTTTGCAAACATACTATGTAGGAACCCTGGACAGTGATCTCAGAAGCGCCGAACACAGAAATGATCACAGTTCAAAGGAAATTGCAGGCACTTGCTACCGAAATGGAGGGGCCAGCTGTCACATAAAACATGAGGCTGTCTTGAAAAAAACAAGTTTATAACTTCAGCCAAAGCAATACCATCTACAGAAAGGGTTGCAAAAGCTTTTATGTTATTGTCCAGTGCAATTTGAATTCTTGCACTTAATTAACTACTAGATTTTACTTTGACGTTATAGCAGTAATAGTACTCATGATGCAAACATTGTGGAGGAAGACAATTAAAAACTACTACATTAAAATTTAAGTTTTACTGTAGAAGTTCTCTGAACTCCCCTTACATGAAATGCAAAGTTCACTCATGTAGAAGAAGCAATAGTCTGACACTTGAATTCAAATGGACGTTCTAGGATTTTAGATAATATTTTTGTATTACACTATGGTGTTATAAAACCGGACTTAGAAGTACATCTAATTTATGATAGCTTTCAAGGGCTGTTCACAGATTGACTGGCAGAGACTGGATCAAGCAATGTAAGTACTAATGTCAACAAAGCTAATTGACCATTTCTGAGATTAGAGTATTGAATACCCAGTGACTGCCTGAGATACAATCACACACACTGCAGGAAAAAGAGCTTGCATAAGGGGCGTGGGTACAACAGCAGATAGCCAGAAAAGCCCAAATCTTCCAAGTGAAGTACATAAACACTATCTCCATTTGTGTCTTGGTATTTTATCACCTTCCGGAAAAGATTTTTAATGCAGTTGGATGCTGTACATCCATTTCTAGATCTAAATCTTGTGTGTTGACGTAAGAGTAGAAAAATTAGCACATTTTCTTAGCTAAGAAAGTGGGGGATGAAGGGGTAAGTCCTTTCACCCACATGACCATGTCAACTTTTATGTTCATTGTTAGCCTGCTCTCCCATAGAGAAAAAGCTTACTTGAGAGATTTTCCTTTTTTTTTTTTTCCACTTACCTACTCTTTAAGCCATTCACTGACTGATTTCAACCAGAGAAGAACAGATTACCAGCAGGTAATTGAGTTCTCATGACTTCTGTAAAATAAGCCAAGCCAGAGAAGACAAAACTGCATTTTGAATGTCTACAGGCCCACCCTCAAAAAATGTGCCATCCAGTTTCCGTAATTGAAAATGGTAGCCCATGTGTCATGCCATCAGTGCAATCTGTGGAAAGAGGGGACTATGTGGCAAAAATGTAGAGGTACATGGAAAGACAATGGAAAAATCCTCATTTGACCTCAAGATATAAATTCATAGAAATCTTCCTTATCTGCTGTTCAGAAACCTACCTGCTTGTTATAAACAGCTAAAGTACAAGTGTGTAAACACACTCCCCTAAAATGTAAACTTCTGGAGCCCAATCTCAGATAACTGAGCACATTTTATTTCTCTAAAACCCATCTATATTTAACCAGGGGAACTCCTTGCAACATGCAGAACAGTTAACAAACTGTATAGAGGACAGATTTATCAAAGAAAATGCAGTAGGACAGGAAACAACCTCTAAACTGCCCCTTCACCAAGGCTAACTAGCTGAAAACTGGCATTAGATTAACCACGTTCATATTATCTCCAACCGGACTGACTCAATTCCAATCTGCTCAGTATAAAGTCACATCATCCTGAAAAATACTCAAAGATCATACTGTGGCACCATTCAGGAAGAGATTAGGTGCTGAAATGGAAAAGTAACTATATCTGCTATTAAATTAGACTATAAATTTGTTCAGAAAGACACTCTGTGACAGAAATTGAAAGCTAACTGCCTGACAGTAGGAAGGATTTCTCCCCATGGGTACAATATCCATTACAATGGTTCTCTGCTTTCTCTACAGTGTTGAAATTGGAGACTGCTGGATATACAACACTTGATCACAACTCCACCTTTAATCACCAATTTCCCTTGAAGGATATACATTTAGTACCCCTATCAAAACTAGCATGCATAACCCTTTCCCACATGCTTTCTTAAAGGAAAGATTTTTAAGCAAAGTCCATACAACTGGTATGTCCAGAAGCCCATAGCAAACCTTCTTTAACATCACAGAAGGTAGAGCTGGAAAGAGTCTGAAGGGCTCCACCTGAAACAGATCCTGTGTCTGTGCACATGGGGACCAGAAGGAATCAACTGTTTTTAAAGCAATTCTGATGGAGACTTCACAAACAGGTTCAGAAACCTGTCCATGGTAACTCCTTCCTCTCCACACTATTGAAATTGGCAGCCCGCTCAGAGAGCATCCAAACCAACACGCTGAGAGATCATCTGTACACAAAGCTGAATTAAACTATGGCATCTCCCGGTCACCAAAACTTCTTCACTTCATGCAGCTCATTAGAATTGACAGAATTGCAACTAGTTGATATGGAACTAATGAAGATGAAACAGATTCACATTTGAATGTGTTTTCTGTGGAACTTGAAGTTTTCAGAAGTGTTACAGAAGTGCTCCTCCAGCCCTCCATCACAGTACTCCGCAGAGGAAATGGTGGGGAAAAGACTAAACTGGGCAAGAAACCACAGACCACGACCATAACTCTATTATCTTAAATAAGGTATAAACCAGGTTATACTGCATTCTCCACTGCCTTGTGCTTAAGGGAAAAGCATCAGCCTACAAAGCTTGTACATGTACACTCTAACCTTACTTGCACCACTCAGACACACAGTTTGATGTACAACATTTTGAGCAGCTTACCTCCCATCATCTAAGCCACCAAAATGAGTATGGACAGTATCACTTATTAACTCTGTATTATGCCAGGTTTTTAAAGATTTAAATTTAACTCAGTGCAATGCCTAATTGGGAAACATCAACCAACACCGTCAATCTTGCCACACAAGGAATGGATAATTAAACAAAACAAATATCTATTAGAGTTGTGTGGTTGAGAACCAGTCTTCTACTACAAGATATTGCAAAGGCAAAGACAGACACAGAACCTACCCCAAAGAGTTTAATATATCAACTCCACTAACTTGTCATGCAGCCAGTGTGAGGAACATGAGAGTGTTCCTACAGTATAAACAGATAGGGAGGAACAGAGGGCAAAAGAGTTTGGGCTTCATATTGTTCCCTCAGCTGTCTGACTACTCATAGGCTTTCTGCAATAGGCTCCTGAAGCAGGTCAGGAGGATGGAACTGTCTCCTGGTTTTGTATAGCAACATCGATGCAGGTAACACCCAAAACTGCAGCGACATATAAAAATCACACTTAGTACTTTCTTCTGCTTAAGCTCTGCTCTACTGCTCAGAATGCAACCTGACAAAGCACTTCGCATACTACACGTAAGCACCATGCTCAGCAGACACATCTGGGCTGTAACAAACACACACTTTGACAGAAAATGGAGAGCAGCTTAGCAAGAGTAATATTCTTACATTCCTTGAAGATATGTATAGAGAGAGAGAGATAGATAGATATATACATGGAGAACAACATGAACCTATGATTTCTGAGCTCAGATCAGACACAGCTAAATGCACACGCATTAGGAACCATCCTATCGAAACTGATCCTTCATACTAAAACACTTATTTTTCTATATATACATAAATAAATATATCTGCAAATTAAAAACCAAAACACACACACACATTCCCCCAATGCAGCCGACTGTTGTATCTCCCCACGCTCCCGGCCTAACAGGTCGCACAGGATACACATTTTGCCACATGCAGACGGTGGAGTGAAGGAGGCAGGGAGGGAGAGCTCCCTGGAAGACCGGATGGCTCATCGCTACCGCTGTCCCGTAGCATTCCAGCCCGGCGCTCACAGCAGGGCTCTCTTTCCCCCGGAGCCCAGTCTGCGCCTCGCCGGGAGCGGCTGCCCAAGCGCCTAGCTCGGGGAGCACCGGCTCCGTTTTCCGCCCCCTCCGCCCAGGCCGCGGCAGCGATCCTACCTGGAGGCGAAGGAGGGCAGGAGCCGGCACGGCCCCGCCGCCCCCTTCCTCCCGCGGGCGCTCGGCGCCGGCAGCTGGGAGCGGGGCCGGGCAGGGCGGCGAAGTGCCGCCCGCCTCCTCCCGCTGCTGACTCAGGAGCAGGCGCCGTCCCTCCACACCGCTCCCGGGGGACGGCCGCCGCGTTCCGCGCAGGATCACTGCCCACAGACACCCCCCGAGCACGCACCGCCCGCCGCCGCTGCCCCGGCTCCGAGTCCCCGCCCCGGGAGGGAGCCACACCTGTGGGCAGCAGCAGCAGCACCCCTGCGAATGGCAGAGGAGGGGTGGGAGGCGGCTCCCCTGCCACCGAAGGGTTGGTCCAGCTCTATCCCAAGAGGGACTGGGGGGGTGTTTTCCTGCCGGCAGTAAGGTGAGGAGGTGCCGCGCCTCCATCTTGAGGAGGGGGCGCGGGGGAGAGCGAGAGGCGCAGCCCCCTCGGCGGCCGCGGCACGGGTGTCCCGATCCACCCGCGACCCGGCTGCTGTGGGGCCGTGTTCCCGTCCACAGTGCTACACCGAGAGGTTTTAGTCTCCACAGACGCGACCTCGGTGCTGCTGCTGGAGATGAGCAAGTAGGACGTCTCCCAGGTCTGAAGACTTTAAGCACAGGGTCTGAAGGTGTTGAGCCAACAAGGTGTAGTGGGAAGGCAGCCGAGCCCTCTGCACCACTGCACTCTGTGTACCGTGGTGTCGCGGTTGGTCTGCCAAGGGGCCTCGAAAGTGGGATCCCACAGCGTCTGTATTGTCGTGCTTCGCGCAGGTCCCCGTACCTTTGCCACCTGCACGGCTTTTGGCTGCTCTGTTTCCACGTGCAATGTTTTGGTGACGCTGTCACTCCTGGTAGGGATTTTCCACAGTGACTGGCTGCACGGGGACTGGCTGCAGGAGGCTAGTAGCTGTCTGATATGAGTTGTGCTGGGGCAAGCCCCTAGTCCACGCATCCTCATTCTACCGTCCTTCTGCTCCTTACCTTTCCAGATTTCTGAAAAACATTGGGCCTGGGATCCAGTGCTGCTCATCTGGCAAAGTCCTCCATCCTAATGACAAATATCTCAGTTTGAAGCCTCTATAAGAGCACCCATAGCTTATTCAGCGCAGCTTTTTAATAAAATAGTCAGCATTTCTATGTCTTTGATTTTGTTCTATCCCAGTTCTTGCCTCATTCACATTTTCTGCTGAGAGCCATGTTGCGATCAGAACATGCAGAAATGGTTTGTTGGTTGTTTCTTTGATTTTTACAGCTCCACTCCAAAATAATAGACTAATTTACATTTGGAAAGAGGCATTTTTCTACTTAACACCAAAGTCCACGTGCCATTGAGAAATGGACTTTGTCCATCTCAGCAACGTTTTAGAACAAGCAATTTCATTTCTAAGTGAAATAAGATGCAAAGAGCAGTGAATTTCAAACTTTACATGCAAAGGTTTCATGCTGATTTGCACCAGCCTGTCAAGGTCCCATATCCTCTGTTCAACCTGTTAGCGATGGTACCATGGTACCGTATTTCCAGTTCTGTTTAGTCTTTAATGAATTGCCAGTGCTTAACTCGGGGTAAATAGTATTTTGCAGGTAGTACCGGGTGATGAAAACAAATTGTTCTAAAGACGTAAAAATGTTATCTCTTGGGCATACAACAGCTTTTATCGCCTCATCTGATTCCCACTTTACTATCTGTTTTTAACAATGGTCTATATGACATTTCCTGAGCCTACTTAAATCTTCCTCAGGGTAGGGAGCTCATAACTCAGGTTTTTGCCCTATAAAGCAAGGAATGAAATCTCTGAACTGTAATAGTGGATTGCTTTTGAATATATATGGAAAAGCATAAAGGAACTGTGTGTTGACATTGTTTTAAATATATTTTTTGCTATATTTTTATGCCAATTTTGATTCCTCAATTTCTGTGATTTCCGTGTGTTGGCTGTTTTGGCCAGCTTATAGAGACTGAAGTCTGCTCATTTCAAGTGAAAAAGGATTGTGAGAATTCCTAAAAATTATTCTAATAATGACACCAAAGTATCAATGAGAAGACTGCTATATTTTTGCCATTGTTGACCCCTGCTTACTTGACTTGGAAGAGGGACATGTATGTGGAGAGAGGAAGCCTGCCTATCTTTCCTTTGTGGCAGTCCCATTTCTCATGTCTTGCAGCCTTCCTGTGAGCACTGGGGGTTGATTTACTCACCTAGTGGGGGAAGAGGATTGTCCTCCAATGCTTCACGTGGTTGTGTGATCCTAGTTTTACTGACTGTAGAAGCACCAGGTATAGTGGCACAATTTTTTTGTAATTATTTTCTCTGCAGGAAATATTTTTCACTTGTACGCTCAATGTTAGTGCTTTTTGAAAGATCTGTGCAGGTATGCAAAAGTCTTCTTAGCACAGCATAGAGACAACTCCTCTGCATGTCCCCTTAGGAGGTATCTACCACCACCTTAATGAAAACAGGGTGAAAAGGATGAAAGCAGTAACTGTCCCTCTGCTTTCTCTGCACAGGAGTAGCTGATCCAGTCCCTTGACTTTCCAGATTGTCTTCTCTGTTGAATGCACAGGATGCAGCTAGTCCTACACAAGGGCAAAGGCATCAGAGCAAACAGCTCCCATTTGATAAACCAGCAGCAGCACCTGGTGCCTGTACACAGTCTGCAAACTTCAGAAATGCCATGAAATGGTGAAACAGACCGTGAAGGCGGGTTCGCTGCAGATGGCTGACGATAAGATGGCATTTTCTTGCTGAACCAGTTCTTGCCTTTCATATCATTGATAGATTAATACGCTTAACCCTCACAAAGTAATAGGCTCAGCGTGCTGTAATGGTATCTGAAAATCATTATAAGTTCAAAATGTAGCCTTCTAGGTAAATGTTGATCTGGTTACCTCCAGCTGCCTTCCCACACTAAGTGCATTCATTTGATCAGACAAAAGCCTCGTGAAGCTGTCATCACCCTGGACAACTAACTCACTGCCAGATATCCAGGGTCATTTTGGAGACTGCCTCTGACACGTGTCCCCCACCATGGCCAAGTGGACCATATGAGCAGTTTCTTGCTGTGACAGGGCAGCCCTGGCCTGAGGCACAACATAACATTACTGTGGCATACAGGGAGGTTTCTCCTGTAGCAGGTGGCTGGCACGGCCCTCCCAGTCCCCTTGCACCCTGTTCTCCTTCCTGCTCTTGCCTTGTTTGCTAAAGCAACTGCTCTGAAGTTCTCCATGTAGCATCTATTTCAAAAGAATATGCTACTGGGACATAGGCTACTTTGGTAACATTACTTAACCCTTATTAGATTGTATTATGCTTTTCTGAAAATACCCTTTTCCCACCTTCCATCTTAAACAGGTAAAACAACTTGATCTGTTTCTGTTCAAAGGAGTGTCTGCCAACACTGAAAAAGAGAGTAGTATTCACCTTCAAGGCATCTGAGACAGATTTCTTTTTTTTTTGATTCCTCAATAATTTTAAGAATTTTTGAAAGCTAGAATTAGGTGAGTTCTCCTTCTTGGCCACAACTCTCCAGCATGTCAGGTTTTTTGTCAGAAAAAAACTCACATGTTTTTTCTACTGCCAGCCCAGGTAAAGCTTCTGCCTTGACAAATGATGTCTAAGTAGGTTTTTATTATCTCTCTGTCTCATCAGGGACAGTATCAGGAAATCTAGTAAGAGTGCAAAAGGTTAGAGTGACATGGTGTAATCCTTTCTTCTTTTCTGTTTTGAAGTATGTTATCTTTCATTGAGGCAGATGTACTCTTACCCTTTTTCTTAATCTAAACTGTAGTTCTACAACATTTCTGTATGTTAGTAGGTCCATTTCTTGTCCTGTTAGCATGTATCCATAAATAACAATACAGTAGTGATTTTACCATGAGTTGTTGCAGATACAATATTATTTTCATTTCAGCTATAATGCGACAACATTCCTGCCCACTGCATCTTCCATTTAAATGTCCTGATTTCTCAGCCTTACTGAAATGACAGCATTACACCGACAGCTTCTCTGTCTCTGGGGTTTGGTTTTCACTGGGCTGATGTTCCACAACAAGCCAGATTTCTGAGAAATAAAAACCTACTATTTATGAAACTTTATTAGTTAGTCTTTGTTTGTACTCTTAGTGAAGTTAGGCAGAGTCACTCTGTAACCCCTGCTTGGGGTTTACCTGCACTGGGCATTTTATGGTAGCATTTGCATTCACTATGTCTTCAGTAGGATTTTGTATTGGATTGCCTCCTGCTGGGTAAAAACACACCAAAACACAAACGTGATATCAGGAACCTTATTGAGATTTTCAAATCACATTGAGCTGATACAGAAAATCATGCCAATTACTGATCAAAACCCACCCATATGTTTCTGTGTAATTATTCCCATCTTTTTTCTCTTCTTGTTGATGATTTCTACTCTTTACATTGTTTTAACTGCTCAGTTAAGATCTATACAGGCAATTGTGTCTGTATTTAGATCCAGAAATTTTGGAAATGTCTTCTTTGTCCTTGTATACAGTTGACGTTCAAGCCTTTATAAGATGTGTGAGATTTATAGTTTAAATTGTCCATGTGCTTCCTCGTTGTAAAACAAATTTTTATTACTTACAAATTCAGAATCTTTTCTATACTTAAGAGCATAAACGTTCTTTAGATGTATACTTTTAATCATGATAACATGATTTTCTTTTTTTACTGTGGTTTGCTTCTTTTTCTTAAATCAATCTCATTATTATTTACTTCCACAGATGTTTAACATTTCCTTATTTTGTTATATATGTTCTGTTTCAGTAATTTCAAGCTATTTTGATGTACAAGTGTTTAAAATTTTGCCTGGATCCTTAATAAAATAATGCTTCTGATAGTACAGGATTTTTTTCAGGGTCCATTGTTGTCATTGATTATCAATAGGAGAGGATTGCCGCATTTTCTTATATTCCCGTGTTTGTGTAAGTGCTTTGGGATGTATAGTTTCCATAATGTATCACTGAATCAGGAAAGGAATTCAAATTCCAAGTTGTAGCCTAATAAATACTTTGTTTGGTTTTACTTTTCTGGTTTTATCTCTTTAAATATTTATGGTGGGTTTTTACCAGTTTTAGTTGCCGTATTCAGCAGCTATATACTAGTGTAAGAGGCAAGTTGATATAAGGTCTCTGACACTTGACTGTCAGCAATTTGAGTACTTATTAAGTGGTTTAAAGTGTATTTAATTAAAGATGTAATGCTTGCTTAGTATTCAATAGTCAATAAAACATTTAGCTTTTATGCCCTCCTAATTTTTTTTTAATATAATTGCTTTTATTGTCGTTCAAGTAGAGTTCTAAAAGCTGTATACATGATTTCCTCATTCTGGAAGAGTGACTAACCTCTAATTACACCAAATATAATCTTCTTCTTGCCTGTCTTTGTAATTAGAAAAATGAATTGTCTCTTACAAAGTGTTATGACTTTGCTTGTAACTAATAAAAATATTACACCCCCACTAACTATTTCAAAGGTTAAGAAACACTGCCAATCAAAGGAGGGATCAGTTAGTCAATGCTAGAAATGGATCTGAAGTTTAAGCATTATGCCAAGTCACACACAGCTCTGAACCTTCTTTTTTCTTTTCTTTCTTCTCCAAATTAAAAACCTGTCCTACAACACCAGCCATTATTAGCATTTTCCCTTTCTTTCAAAATAGCCCAGAAGGTACACAGATAAACAAAAGTAGCCATAATGTAGGAGTCCATGTAAACTGGTGTTTCTTAGACAAAGGATGAGTTTATTGTGCTTTCCCTTTCTCTGGGATCCTTGGGTGTTAAATTTCCAGCCCATCTTCACCTTCCCCATGAATCCTTTGTCTGCAACTACCAGGGAGGCACGGGAGCTGTAAGCAATGAAAACAAACCTCACGGCTTTTCTTTCCTCTTAGCAGGGAAGAAGAGAACATATACCAAATCAAAAGGTGTGAGCACTTGTGCTGGCATTGTCACTCACAGCCAGCTGTAGGAGAACAGGGAACACTTGCTCCAG